ATCTTTTCTTACCACATATTTTAGTAGCCTTGTGAGCTTACTTGTCTTTCTTCCCCTTTACGTTGTGTATTTACTTCTTACTGTTTTCTTAAGCCGTTTTTCTTACTTGGAATAACAATGCAACAGTTCGTTTTTACATTTTATATATCATATAGCTGCTTACATATGGTACAATGCATAATAGACTAAAGTCATTCTCTCAAACCTCATCCAGACAGACTCACTGAGCGAGTCTGCTGATAGAAACTGCTACATCTTTTCCCTTCTGGAATTAAGCTGCTGTCTGGCGATTGCTCACAAAGTTTTGTTGCTTGGGTTTGAAGTTCACTTATCCAATTGGTCGAAACCCATCCTTATATAGAAAATGGAAATATACCGAAGCAACTTCCCACAAGATATATGTTATCAACCTAGAATTGAATGTTTAGAACATTATGATTTTTTATATATAACAATATATCATTCATTCACTACGTTGATTTAAGTACATACTACATATATGTAAATCTAATAACTTGCCAAAGATATAAATTAAAGTTGCAATTTCATATTTTTACGTTATATTTTTAAAATTTATTAAAATAAAGCCTTAAAATAGATGATATCTATAAACAGTCCTACCTTGTTAAAGAATAATCCTATTAATCCTATAATTCACTATTGCCAGTTGAGAAATTGGCAAAAATATCATTTTCCTCTTCAAATTCAAACGTTTGAAAAAAGCTACTCCATGGTGGTGAATAGAAAACAAGGGAGGTAATTGGGAGGTAATTGTGTTATTATTTCCGGTGTAAATGAGTTTTAAGTGTGAGAATGACACCTATGATCGTTTAATAGTGAGTTGACAACCTATTGAGCAAAAGACATAGAAATAATTATGTTTTGACTTTCTTAGAAAATATGAAATGGTAACTTTAATACATTATAATGGCATCATTTTTCTATATTCCTTGTCTATAAATTTGAAAACAATGTCGCAACGACAATATTTCTACTTGGTTCAAAATTGACATGAAAAGTGTTTTCTCGTTAGTTTTTTCGTTCAATCTTATTAAAACACAGATGCTATTTCGTTTCGTTTTTTATAGTTCACAACAGGCGGTCTGGTTGATGTGAGGAATTAGCCAATGAAACGATCTGTTACGGTGAGTTCTTGGCGTGATCTGCACGGTACTATGGGTAAACCCCTTGAAACGTCAACGCTGATTAGTTAATCAAAAAAATCTGACGCCATAAGGTCAAAAGCTGCTCGTATGACCCCTGACGCGACCTCCCGGTACAACTGGTCAGATCTTCATGTAGTTTAGGCCATCGAAAGTATAAAAAAACGAAAGGAAATATACATCTGTATTTTAATCAGATCAGTACCAATTTCATCATTCCAAATATCAAATTATAATGGTACTTTTCAATAGATCTGGAAATGTACATAAAAATCCTCCAGTAAATCAGAGACATGTGTAGATATTAGTTTATTGTTAATCTTCATCAGGAGATTCAAAATCAAAGTGAATAATATGAGCGGGATAGATATCTTCTTGATGGCTAATCAACAGCTCGCATATATGCTTCAGATACCCATTCACATTGTAAATCTTCATTCCAGCCTTGTATCGCAGGGTTATCTTGTTCGATCATTGGTTTTGCAGCCTGTCTCCATATTGTTGCTACATAATTGTTGCGTTTAATGTGCAACAAAAGACTACTCAGGCAAGATGGTAATAAAGAAAGAAAGGTTTGTTATTAATCAATGGGGGGGGGGGGGGGGCAAAGGGAAGTAACTCATCGGGTAAAGTAAGCAAAACGCAAAAGGCTGTCCTTTAAGAGACAAGGTTAGGAATTAGCCAGAAGATTGTCTAAATGAGAGAAGTCCAAATTATAAAGTTTTATTGAGAATCAAATAAATTCAATAAAGATAAAAATATCAGAATGAAATATCAGAATAGTAATAATAAAAACAAAAGTCAAATATATAGATGTTATACATATTTGAAATCAGCGAAACATACTACAGATTTTGATAATATAATTAAATATAAATGAATTAGAAATATATACATTATTTACATAAATCATTCAGTAAATGGACATGAATATGGTTATTTACCATTATAAAAATGAACACGAAACGACTGGTTTGTAAACTACAATCAAGGCCAGGGTAGATAATTTGAAATCGTGGAAACCCTATGGGTTAACGCAGGATATGGAGTAGAAGGGAATGAGTACGGATACCAAGGATGCCCTACATGGTACAAACAATTTTTTTCTAAACCAGCAATTACGTCATCAGAAACATCATTTGTCTGTCCCAGCTCTTTAAAAGTGGTTAGAAAGTTGGGAAAAGAAAGACAGGCATTAAGCTACCACTGAAAGCATGTAGGCCGAGATATTCTAAACACTTTCAATGCTAATCTTGATTGGATCAAAAAATATATCAAGATTTGTATTGAAAGTGTCGAGAATATCCTAGACCTAACAACAAACCACGAGGACACCAAAATAGCTTACCTGAAGCTGAAACAAATTGTATTTTGCGTTCTTGCTCGGGCGAAATAAACATCCCAATCATTCTCCTCGCAAATAACGATCCAAATATGTATACACATTTTGATCGATAATGAAATGGGCAAAGGTAGAAAATATCGCGGAAGGCGACTTACATGAGTAGATGAATGTAACAAAGTACTGTTTAACTTCCATCAAATTGAACGGTCATCTAGGTGCTTAGAACGTATGACCTCAGCTGCTTCTTGATAATATATATAATATTGACCTTTTAACTCTGTATGCACTGCAGGGCCGTATTTAGCGGGGGTGCATTGCGCCCCCAGAAAAATAAGGCGCCCCGAGAAATTGCGCCCCCACCCCATCCAAAAAAAAAAAAAAAATTATTTGTCAATCTTTCAATTATAAAATAATACACTTGATTATGATCACACAGTGATGCTCGATTTAAGGCACTGATCAGTCGATCGGTTTTAAGGGCGCCCACACGCCAATGGGTTCGTTTGCCCTGATCGAAACTTTCTTATATCACATACGTGGAGGCTATGGCGCCCCACACATCTGCTGGCCATTTTTAAAATTCTACATACGGCCCTGATGCACTGTTCTTAAGTAGAGATCAAATTTATTCAGATGGATAGATCTACTTAATTCAAGTGGGATTGAACTTGACTTGTGGGATTTTTGAGACAGTAGTTCGCAAAATATACTATTCAAAAAAAGTAGGGGATATTTGATTTTTAAGTGTTATTAAAGTCACCTAATGAAACTGACGAAGAAACAAATGACAAAATGAAATGAAGTTCACATTCATCGATTTATTCCAAATGATCGTTAGACTAAGTAAGGCACAGACTGACCATTATAAGGGTAAAATGATACCCGGGGTCAAACAGCAAAGTTACCACAGCATCACAACCAAGTCAGTAACGGGTAAATCCTCCTCTGTTTGCCAAACAAGCATTGATCCGACGTGGCATACTCCTAATGAGACGTCTAAGGTCATTTTGGTCCAGATTGTCCCATTCCTGTTGCAACGCAGCAGCAAGTTCTTGGACATTGGCAGGACGTTGTTGACGTTGACGTAACCTCTGTCCAAGCATGTCCCAGACATGCTCGATGGGGGAGAGGTCGGGACTCAGTGCTGGCCAAGGTAATGTGGTGATGTTCTGTTGTTGGAGGTAACCTGTAACGATCCTGGCCCTGTGACATCTTGCGTTGTCATCCTGGAAGATGAAACGGCGGCCATGACGTCGTGCGAACGGCACAACATGGACTGCCAAGATGTTGTCCCGGTAGTACTGGCCTGTAACACGCCCTGCAACAACATGTAAAGCCGTTCTTCCACAACAGTGATGCCTCCCCACACCATAACAGAACCACACCCAAATCGATCATGTCTGATGACGTTAACGTCTTGGAAGCGCTCGTTTCGACGACGCCACACCCTCCTACGTCTGTCCAAAAAATCAACAGTGAACCTTGACTCATCTGAAAACATCACATTGCTCCAGCGTCGATTATCCCAGTGTTGACGATCCCTACACCAACGACGTCTTGCCTGAATGTGATGATCTCTCAAACAAGGGATCACGCGAGGACGTCGGGCGCGAAGGTGACACCTATGCAGTCGATTCCGAATCGTCTGGCCACTCACTCTCACACCAGTGTCTGTTTGAAGACGAGCGCTGATCTGATTTGCTGTGATGACACGATTTCTCAAGGCCAAGGTACGGATAAATGGATCCTGGGCTTGAGTTGTCGCCCCTTTGTCGACCTGAGCGTGGTCTGTCCTGTACAGATTGTGTATCACGGTATCTGGACCATAGCCTGCTTATGACAGACTGAGAAACATTCATCGTCCGCGCCACAACCGCCTGTGTTGTGCCGATCTGTAGCATGCCAAGGGCACGTAACCTTTCATTTTGGGTAAGCCGACGCATATCAAAATTTGTTTTCTGGTCACTAAAACAATTAAACTGATGTTTCCACCCTGGAATTCAATGCCACAATGACTGTAACATTCAAAGTCAAGAGTCGTGCAAATCTTGGGTTGGACCCCCATGATGATCCCAAGCATCACCTGCATTCCATGCGGTAGCTATTGGTGCGTTTGGGCGTCAAATGTAACTGGAAATGTTTCTTCTGTTAGGTTCTATAGTGACTTTTTTCGTAGTCATTTGCATATTTTAGTATTATGCCCCCAAAATCAAATATCCCCTACTTTTTTTGAATAGTATACATTAGCCAGTTTATAGGTCGGCCATACATTTAGTTTTAAAAATATTTTTCTAGTTTCAAAAACAGATGGGTGGATGCAATCTGTTTTACAGACCTAATGCGACATCCGTATTGTAGCGGCCAAGCGAATATTCACTGTGGATCAGTGTGGGGTGGATGGGTGACTATTTTGAACTATCGGTAGCCTACTCTCGTCCTCCTGCACTTGCTCATAATAAAGGGAAGTAACTCTCAAATTCAAATGACCTACGCTCTCCTGTTTTTCTCACATCGTGTGTAGATTTGTGAAGTAATATTTATGCAAGCAAAAGAGTAATATTTAATTTATTTACTACTAGCATGTAATATAAAATGGAGGCGATGCTTACAAGAAAATTTTGCCAGAGGTGCTTTTGCTTACTGAGTAAAAAATTGGTGAGAAAACTTTCATGACAGGCATTGCCAATCATCATATTATATGCATTATGTAATTCTGAGTTGCTCCATTGGTAACTTCCTGAATTATGGCCCTTGATTGTACGAAAAATCGTTTTTTGTAGCTTGTTCTCTATCCATCTCTTGCAAAATGTGGGTGTATCTTGCATGGCAACCTCTTGTTTAACTTTTATAGCGAGAACTGCCAGCTCTTTATCTAATCTTACCCTTCAAGTACCATACCCCGTCTTCATTAACCCAGTCAGAGCATTTGTTTAAGTACCGGTGTGATAGTTTGAGTTGACTCCTGGTGTGTGTTTTCTCCTAACAACGAAACTATATCTACTTCCTCAGGTGCGAGTTGGTTCCTAGTCAGTACAGGAAAAAGTATATCATGTACTTGATTAGAGTTTTGTCATTAATAAACATACTTGTTATCGTGATTAGCTGTTGTTTTAGTGATGAGTAGTTACACGATCAAAGGATCTAAGTTGATTGGCTTGAAATTGATACTTCTATCGTTCGTGATTTGTTGCCGTTGTTTTTTTTTTTTAGTGATTAGTCGTTCTTCACACGTACGATCAGTGGAAACCATACAAATTGATGATTGGCTTGAAATTATCAATTAATTCACCTCCAAAGGAAGATTAAGGCCTTTGATATTTCGTGGCTTCATTTATCACAAATATAAAAGTATGGAATTTCTTATTCCGATTTTTGTCTACGATATCACCTTAGCTGGAAGTGGACGTAAAACCCCAGAGAAGAAGAAGAAGTATTCCGATTTCTTTAACATAAATATAAATTTATTATACCATCCCATACATTCAAACATGCATGTAGACAGCCCAAATACAAGAGAGAATGTTCGCATTGTGGACGGGTATATATACTAAATAATAATAATAAAGATCGTCAATTTGCATCCTCTAGTGGTGGTAATACTGTAAATATCGGTACATAGTCTATATATTGATTTGACCGTAAGAAAATCTTAGGGGAAATCCTATCACGTGGAGTCAATGCACACCGCGACTGTAACGGTGTGAGTTGACTCCTACAACTGCGCATGCGCCAAACGGTAATCACACACCAGGAACCATCTGAAACTGCCACAACGGTACTAAATTTCTATCTTTAGGCGCTTTACCTCGAATCATTTCTCGATTCATTTGACACAAGTTTATAATAATCCAACACTATTTTCATAAAGTCTGTCATTGAGTCAACTGGAGTGGTTTCAAGGAGTAGGGTCGCCTGTCCAACCTCGTGGGTTTTCTCCGGGACCTCCGGTTTCCTCCCACTGCTAAAGGCCCTACGCGCAAGCAAATTATGGAAATAAAATTGAACCATATGTTAGTCCCGAAATGACCTAGTTTAATTGTGTCGAGTGGATGTTAAACCCTCTCTCTCTCTCTCTTTTCAAGTACATTTTTGAGAATCTAAAGCATAAACAAAAGACCAGTTCTAATATATTTTGTTGATACGGAGAATATGGTTTACCTGCTTCGATTAACTATATCTTTATATATTTTATTACAAATTATTTTTTTAAAATTTATTTCAGAATTTACCAGTTCTTGCATCACAGTCAGCACGCAGTTACCAGTTTATTACTTCAAATTCCAAAATATCCTACCAGTATCTACAACTTATTAATCCACAAAATACTGTAAGACCATACAGTACATCCCAAGGTGAATCATCAAAACCACAGGAAAATCCAAAAACCTCTGGTGTAAGTAAAAATTAAATAAGTCATATTTTTTTTAATTTAATTGCAGACCCTTATCACAATATTAGAAGATTTTAAAATATTTCTTGAAATTTTATGTTATGATTAGCATTACTTTCTAAGAAAAATAGTTGATTATGCAAATATTTTTCTTATTTTTTTGTGACAGTTACCAATATTTCTTTTTTCTCCAGTATTTATCATGGAAAGGATTGGGAATTATAACAGCTATAGGAGGTGTTGGTTTATTAGGCGTACGATATGTTAAAAAAGAAAAAGAATTGGGTATGTGTATTATCTTCATTGATTTATGGGTAATTTTTCGGATTTTTTCTGATTCACTATTTTTGTATGGAGGTAGGGGTCAATTCCAAAAGAGCCCATTTCCTTTTGCACCAAGCAAGGTGAGGTGAAAATAATTAGGAACTTAAGACATCTCCTCTGACTGTCACTTAAAATTAAATCCAAACATACTAAAGCATTTCTTTATGGTGATCCCAATGAAAATAACACATACAACGAAAAGATTTTTAGCCAAGTTCACAAGTATTTTAAACTAACTAACTAACTAAGGTTTATTTCCCTTCCCATTGACAGACTTGTTTATGGAATATTTTGATATTTTTTGCTTTAGATACTTTCATTTTGAACACTTTAATTATTTTACATGGAAGACCTCCCCACATAAACATTCCCCCCTAACCTCCCCATTAGATCTGCCCTTGGAATGGGGTAATCCCGTTATGCCCCCCGCTATTGTTCTCATGGTAGCAGCAGTCAAACATGTGGATTATCAAATACATGTACAAAAGGATTAAAACTAGTCTGCTTCACAGAAATGTGGTTTACAACAAAAGTAAAACTGCAACTCGACAAAAAACAACTTCATATATAGTTTATTACATTTACCATAATCTACATGAAAAGACAAAATAGACTGAAACAAATAATGATACAGTCTATAATTCTTTGTTTACTTAACCCCTTAACTGCGTAGGACGTTATATAACGTCCTGGACAACTGCCACTCACCGTGTGTAGGACGTAATATAACGCCCTGGAGGTATTTTCCCCAACCTATTCTTAGAACACAATCTTATACCACGCGGAAAAGACGTATTATTACGCCTGGTCGATGAATCTAATTAAGGAAGACAACTCTATTTACTGTTAGTTTTATTTTGGTTTAAGACCACTCAAATTTGTATTCAGGAAAAAATAGGCCCAAATATGACGTTTTTCGTCAAATTAATTACGCAATAGGGGGTAGTTAACGTCAAATTAATTACACAGTTAAGGGGTTAAGTTTTCAGGGGGGGGTGGATGGCCGAATGGTTAGCACGCACGCGCTGTATCATACCATCTGTCATTGAGTCAACTGGCAGGGTTTTGATTCCCCGGTTGTACGTGACAAGGAGTAGGGTCGCCTGTCCAACCTCGTGAGTTTTCTCCCACTGCTAAAGACCCCTACGTGCAAGCAAATTATTGAAATAGAATTGAACCATATGTTAGTCCCAAAATGACCTGGTTTGTGTTGAGTGGACGTTAAACCCCATTTCTCTCTCTCTCTCAGGTAAGTTTTCACGTCTCCACCATAACATTGTTTGATTGGGGGGCATTGCGGGAGTAAACCCTCGGAATGCATAATTATATATTATAGGATCCTTGAGATTAAATTTTATCAGAGCATAGGTTTGTGAATAGTGTAAACAAAAGGAGAGTAACTGTGCATTACAAACATTCACAAAATTTAACCTAATATATCACAACATTCACATTGTTATGTTACTAAAAGCATATTTATTCTGATATAAAAAATGTGGATAAGCTTGGAGCAAAGAAAGCTTTGAGGTATTGAAGATCTTTAGGTTTTTTTTTTAGTTCAATGCTTACTAAAACACAATATCCAAATTATACCAAATACATGTATTGATTGTGTTGTGAACAGAGACATTTAATGTAAACAATTTTTGAATTTCTTTTTTACAGCAATAGCTAAAGAAAGAAGTAGATCTTTAGGAAAGGCTTCATTAGGTGGACCATGGGCTTTAGTAGATCATAATGGAAAATTAACAGCAAGTACAGATTTTCATGGAAAATGGGTACTACTATATTTTGGCTTCACTCATTGTCCTGATATTTGCCCAGATGAATTGGAGAAAATGATAAAAGCTGTGGACAAAATAGGTGAGTTCTAAAACAGATTGGAAATTCAATTAATCAAACTTACATAGGTAATAGGAATACAATATTCATAAAACTTCTGGTTTAAAAAAAAAGCTTACGGATACAAACAGAGCTGTTGATTCTCACATTTATCCATCCAACTAGCTTGACAAAAATGCATAGATTATGAATCGATTTTCCATAGTAACAGGGCTACTTAGTTGAGAACAGAGCTACTTAGTCAATTTGTCTGTGATATCACCTTGGTGGAAGCGGACATAAAATACAACTAACTCACACACACTTTGTTAACAGAGCAGCATAGTCATGGATATCGTATTCTGCTACTCTGATGTGTTGTTGCCAGTTGTAAGTCGTGTGCCTGTAATATTGTGGACGTTGCTTGGTGGTGGAAACAACTACATATCTGGAACTTAGTTATGAGATAAATATTACCCTGACCGAGGGTATTAGGGTAATATTTGTCTTACACACCGACATCACTGTTAAATCTATCCTAATTGATTTCAACTATAAGACAATGGTTTAGCCCATATCGGCCCTGCAACTGATATGACAAAATTAAGAAAACAAGTCGTAAGTTGCTCATGCATTACATTTTAGTAACCATGTTCACAAACTGGCATTCATTTTATGCAATGTTATGAAACGATTCGGACGACGAACTGATCCGCGCTAGTCAGTTTGTAGAAAATATGGTTGAAAAAGAAAACATAGATTCTGACAACCATTATTTAAAGCTGGTTAAAGTGCAAAATTTATGCAAAAAATATTTAACAAGAATTTGATGTACTCGGATATTTCGGATTGTGAGATACAAATAATAAATGCTTTTCACTTTTGAGTGACAAGTCGTCAGTGAATGTGCCAACAATATCGTGCCCATAAATACCTTACACAGAAATCAGTGGGCTGTGAACTTTTTTAACAGTTGGTCAGTGTGGCGGAATAATAAACACGATAGTGATCGAAAAAACCTGTGTGCGCTGGAAGCAGGCCTAGAAATGACGCTTGTAGATGTACCTGACAAAATGTCAGGCACTAATGAAATAGTATCTGACATTTTCAACTTAGTGCCGGACATGTATTAATAATATCAGCAAAAGAGACATATCAGTGCCAGACAAAATGACAGGCAACAGAGGTTTTGTGCCTGACAAAGCCTGAATCTGTGCCTGACATTGTCAGTGACAGGTGCCTTATTTCCAGGCTTGGCTGGAAGATATGAGGATATAAGATCTTAGTTTTTGGATGTCTAGATTCGTCTCGGTAGTAAGCAAAATAAAATGATGAATATTACCCCCCGAATTCCATATTTAGTTAATGTGAATAGTTTCACATTTACGAATTAGGAATAAGACTGATATGGATATACTACACAATCCAGAAGTTGAGTTTCAGACAAGTTCTTGATGGTCAGACAACATTGTACATAAAAGTGAATAAAATGTTAAAAGAAAGAATTTGTCTCCTTTTTCATTGCAGAATAATATAAACCTGTTGTGACGTCATCAGATATCACCCTCTAATGCGTCACAGCAGGTTGATACGTTTTATAACATGCATGGGAGATCAAAGGAAATAACATCCCAAGAAGTATAAATATAAATATCATCCACAACTTTGGTAGTTGTTTTCAAACCCATGATATTTAGTGTCAAGTAGGGTTGCTGGCCAAAACTTTTGAAATTTGGGGGGATTTGTAATCTATTCCCATTGCAAAATACTGAAAAGTATGAAATTACAGCTTTGTGACAACATAAATGTGGCATGAAGTTATTTTAGTCAGTCATATGTCCAGTAATAGTCTATTCTATTGCCAATTCTATTAATGGCTACATCCTCTCTACTCTCCCATTCATGTTGCATCATTAGAACGACTTCAATAATTTCATGTTTTCCTTCATATGTCAAGGATATCACATTTAGCATTTTACATAACTGTAATAGAGCAATGACTTGAAGTTGGGCCCTTTATGGGGTTAAAATAACCATTATTATTATTTGATTTGCAGATGAGGATGATAATTTACCTAATGTATCCCCATTATTTATAACTGTTGATCCAGAACGAGACACGGTTAGTGCTGTAAGAAACTATGTTAAAGGTAATTTATTTGAAATCACAAAAATCTTTTCCCCAAAAGAATGTTGTAAACTGCATGAAATATGAACCAGGTATATGTACAAATGTTCTATTTTCAGGACATAATCAAAGTAAACCAAATTGAAACAAAAAAACCTCACCAGAATTACTAAATATTTTTAGTAATTGATTCTCCTGATTTAATATTTTGGCAAACAAGAACATTAAAAAAAAAAAACTTTTCTGGCCAACATTTTTCTCTTTGGCTGCCATGTTGTAGTTGCTGGACTCCATTTCGATTAGGGTATCCGAATGGTCTAATGAGTGTGATTTAGATCATAAAGTCTGTTATTGAGTCAAGCGGCATGGTTTTGATCCCACACTGGTGCCTAACCTTGTGTGTTTTCTCTGTGACCCCCTGTTTCCTCCCACTGCTAAAAGACTCATTATTGAAATAAAGTTGTAACTTGAACCAGGTGTTTGTGCAGCGAAATGACCTAGTTTGTGTTGAGTGGATATTAAACCCCATTCCCCCCCCCTTCCCCCATTCAGAAGTTGATTTATCAGACCATTAAAAGATTAATTATAATTTGATATATCTGTCAATTTTTATAGAATTTTCACACAAGTTAATTGGTTTAACTGGTACAAAAGAACAAGTTAATCAAGCAACTAGAGCATATCGAGTATATTACAGTAATGGACCAAAAGATGAAGATGAAGATTATATTGTAAGTGTGTTATTCTTTGAAGCTGAAAATTATTGTCCATGATGTAGTATTGTTAAAAATAAAATCGATCCACAAGTACTTGCAACACTGAAATTTTTCAAAACATAGTGAGATTATTCATCGAGTCATAAGGGTGAACCCTATCAACACCTCTTTGTAAAGTTTTATTCATAGCTTAAATTTGCTTTTAAAGCTTTAGCTTATGAATGAGACATGGTTCTTGATGAAATTTTTGAAAGTTATTTGGGGTATTGGGAAATTCAGAGGTTTTTGAGCATAAATCACAGAGTTATTTTCCCGTTTAAAGATCATGTACGTGATACAGGACATTGGTTTTATAGCCTGCAGAGTGATGACTCTGCTGCTAGTGGGCATATTTGGGGTCCAGATAAGCGCACATTTATAATTTTAGGAGGGGGCTGGGGGATATTATTGAAACCAGTATGAGCATACTATATCGATGCACACTTGTCCAATAAACAAGCCTGCGAAGATTCCTGTCATTCATACTTAAATTGGCGGAGAATTAGGCTTATTCTGTGTTGTCACCAAGAAGAAAAACAACAGCCAGAAGAGTAGCCCTTGGGGATTGGTTCCTGGCAAGGAAATTAGTCAATTATTAATATTTATCATACTTTTTTTTGTATAATTTCAGGTTGATCATACAATTATTATGTACCTGATTGGACCAGATGGGGAATTTATCGATTACTATGGACAAAATAAAACATATGATCAAATAGCTACAAGTATAAGTTTACATATGACTCAATTTAAACAAATAAAATCTTAGTCCATGTATATCATAGGTTATTTTACAATAGAACTGGGAAGAAATTTCTGCTTTGACTAGAATTGTGATTTCTAAGAATAAATGGAAAGCTTTGAATATTTGGATGGAATATAATATATCATACTGATCAGCAGTGAATATTCGCTACGCCGCGACAATCACTGATAAGGATTACATCGATGCGACTTAATGAGCCACAATTATTAACTTTTTTCCTCCGACAAATTAAATTCTAAAACATTTTTTTTATGTATTAGAAAAATAAACAAAGACGTTTGACGTATTTGTAGGTAAAAATTATTTCCTATTTAGTGTAAATGGGTATTAAAATGAGTAAAAGGCTCCATTCCGCCCGAACCAGTAAGGTCTTATGTAATCAATGCATATGCCATTGAGCCAATGATTGATGCCGTGTGATGAAAAGTCACGTGTTAAAGGTAGTCATCTTTTACAGAGATATTAGAAGACTTTCGTAATCCTCTGTAAAACAGATTGATAATATATAGCTTTATGATCTGAAACATGTCTGTATAGCAACTTTAATGTTAATTTGCAGAATGTAGAAACTTAAAAATTACTACTAAGTTTTAATTTCTTGTTTGCTGTAAGTTTTGTTAACATGTAGCCACTGCATGAAAAATAATGAAATGCTTCTAATAAGATGGATTTGTTTATACTTTTTGGTTTGGTAAACAAAATGTTTACAAAGAGTGATCATTATGTCTGTGTTCTCTAATTGATCTTCAAATGCTTCCTTTCAAAATTTCACATTTCTTTCCCAAAAATTACTGGTTAATGGAATAATTAATATGGACCATGGTGATAAGTTCATCTTTGTTCAACTAATTTGGCTGACATGGTGACAACCAAGGCATCTTGTCCCACTTGTGTGGGTGCCATGTTGACGTCTTGTTCAACTAGCATAGTTTGCTTAATAACTGCGTTTGTGGTGATGGGTATAGTATTTTTTCACGGCCACATTTTCACATGGACGTATATTGTCGTCGCCCCTGTCCGTCCAGACGTCAAGCCGTCCACAATTTGTTTGTGGACACTCTACAGGTCACAATTCTTATCCAATTTTGACGAAACTTAAAATATAGGTTTATCTCCAAAAGATCTTGGTTCCTTTCGATACTGGCATGCATCGGATCAAAACTTCATGGATTATGGCCCCTGTTTGTATGAAAAATCAAGTTTTTTCTTGTGGACCCTATCGAGGTCACAATTTTTATCCGATTTTGATAAAACTTGAAATGCATGTTTATAACCCAAAGATCTTGGTTCCTTTTCATATTTCGGATTGTAACTTCATGAAATATGGCCCCTGATTGTACGAAAATTCGTGTTTTCAGCTAGAAGTCACAATTATTATCCGATTTAAAAAAACGTTTGACTCTATCACTTTTTATTTTTTAGCTTGTTCTCTATCCATCTCTTGCAAAATGTGGGCGTATCTTGCCTGGCAGCCGCTGGTTTATGTTGACTGGAGTTATAGGATACTGTTGCAATATAGTAAGTTTGTAATAATTGTACCGGTACATGTTGGTTTGTTGTGTGATTTTCTTGTTCTAATAATGTCACTGAGCAGCAAAACAATATCAGAGTTCAGATGCTCTGTTAATTCATTATTACATACTCCAGTATAAAGAGTTCAACCTTTTTATATCCTTGAATATATTTCTAAACGGAAACCAGTACAACAATTTCAGACTCACCTTTTCCCTTTTTAATTGTCAAACTGTATATTATGTAGTTTGCTTTATACAATAACCAATAATTTTTGTTAATAAAATATTGAAAATTTCTTTTTTTTAAATGACTCTCCAAGGCTATAGCATAGTTATAAGACTGGTGCCTAAATTCTTTCTTCCTGTGAAATACACATCTGTGGTGTATCATATAAGGTCTGTCATTGAGTCCACTGGCGTGGTTTCGATTCCTTGGGTGTATGTGACAAGGAGTAGGGTCGCCTGTCCAACTTTATGGGTTTCCTCCCACTGCACAATTTAAGCGAATTATTGAAATACAATTGAACCATGTGTTAGTCCCAAAATTACCTAGTTTTTGTGGAGTGGACTTAAACCCCCCCTCTCTCTCTCTCTCCTGTGAAATAAACAAAGAAATCCATGCTTTGCAGTTATACTTTGTTTTACTATGATTTTGTTAGAACAATATTGGTCACTGCAAGTCCCACAATAAAGACTGAATATGAAAGTAAATTGTTTTATCCCTCAGTATACACCTGGAATGTTTGTTTTATTCTGTTGTAATATTAAAAGGTGGGCAAAGCAATAAATGACTGAAGATTCTAAATTTGTTCAAAGATTCCAATTTTACCTAAATTTCGTTTCGTCTTGTACGTATGACCGACATTACTTAATATGGACGTTGACCTATATTGAGAAATGAAATGAAATGAAGTGGGGTTTAATGTCCTACAGTTTTGCTCCGAATTGGGCTAATGAAGACGGGCATCCGCATACAGTGTGCTGTGAGGGAAATTTTGCCCGGACAGGGGCACTACGGCCTACTCTTATATCGAATTCCAACTGTCAAGGGATCTTTTACGTGCACGCCAAGGTGTACACAGGACCTCAGTATTTCATATCATCCGAGACTATAGACAGCTGTCCTTGTCAGACCCTCCGTCCTGCATCACTGACAAGGGGGAACCTGCACGCCGGAAAATCCTATAATTAGAGTGTCATGGAGGCGAAAGGCCAAGGCAACTTGATAGGACTAGGAGGGAACGTATTTTTTACAGCGTGTTGTGTCGCTCATAATGACTCTAGCGGGGTAAGCAAGGTCTTATTTTCTCAATAAGATGTTCCTTTACATTGCACAGGCGTTCACACGGATTGACACCCCACCGTTTAGCAGTAAAAAGTTGCCCAGTAAAATTGACTGGGAATCAAAACTTTTTCGACAAAGGTTCAATAGGACGTTCCTGAACGTACAGGCTCTATTTCAGTATCGCACCTCTACCAGTTCCCGGGGTCGTAGAGACTTGACATTTTCAGGGGATGTTCAGGTGGGCTAGCAATGACGTCACACCAAATTTCAGCCGAATCGGTCAATAACTTTTTATTTTACCTTAGTTTAGCTTCTAGGCTATAAGATAAGTTTATCCGATTTTGACGCCATTTTGTTTGTTGACTATTTAGGCTCGAATGACGTCATATGTGGATTGTGGGTTAGGGTAAGGGCTAGGACCTGTAGATTTCGTCATAGTCTCAAGATGTAGACAGGACTAGCCCTAACCCTAACCCTGTCTTGTTATTCGAGTCTAAATAGCCAACAAACAAAATGGCGTCAAAATCGGATAAACTTTCTCTCGTATAAGCTAAACTACAGTAAAATAAAAAGTTATTGACAGATTCGGCTGAACTTTGGTGTGAGGTCATTGCTAGGCCCCATGAATACCCCCTGAAAATTTCAAGTCTCTATGATCATGGGAACTGGTAGAGGTGCGAAATTTATTTTAACTTAGAAACAGTTTCGGATCGGTTCTCTGGGATGTAAGTTACAAGTAATTTATAATGTAGCCTTGTCAGTTTCCGGACCATCCCCGCGCACCGTCACACCGGTTTACAGATTTCATTTTGTTGTGAAATATTGTTTTTTTTTATCAGGAAACGTACTTCATCACATCGTTCATTTTAGAAGAGTTCAGAAAGTAGTATCATAATCTGTGCAGAATAATAGTTTATTGTTGACATTTAGTGTCACGTGATGCAATTATCAATACCACGTGATAAGTTGAGTGTCAAAAATAGAAAACAGTCACAATACTAATAGTAATAGAAAGCTTGATGCTTTTCGACAGTACGTCGTTTATTATTTTTTTTAAAGTCAGATCACATTTGCAAATTTATGTTTCATGTTTAAATACCTATTCTAGTTAAAATTGGGACCGTGCGCGTCAAGACAAGTTGAATAGATGCCTTACTTACGGATAGTCAATTTAGTGAATGACTGAATATGCATGATTTTTCATCTGACACAGGTTGAGATTATTAAGCTTGCTATATATGGAAGTGTCCAATTTATGAGTACAATATTAATATATAGGTTAGACTAACTGATAATAATAGCTGGTGCAATATCCAAGTCCTTTACGTGAGATATAGCTGTAAGAAGGTGAGATGATCGAAGTTAAATTAAATTTCATTAAGATCTCACCGATTAGTGAATGTAGTTATTTTTTATTCCCCTAACAAATTCACTTTTGGATTCATGTAGAAACTTGGCTGCATTGTTTTCGAAGATATTGTATGTTTTAAAAAAACCTCAAAACTCAGCTCCTTTGAAAGGATACAACAAGTATATTGACCGTTATGAAAAAAAATAATGGGTTATCAAAGTTTAATATTTTCTCAACTTTTCTGTTTTAATTGAAAGATTGAAAATATGGATGAAACAGATGAAAAAACTCCCTTGTTGAAGAGTTCAGGGTCTGATGTGAATGATGCTGTAGTTTATACGAATGGAAAGTTAATCAGTTCTGGAGATTCTAATGACAGGTAGGCTGTAAACTACGTTCTTGTCGAATAACCAATTGTAATAAGATGGCATTTTATCTAGAATATACAAATTGGTAGAGGGCTGCTTACATTATATTGATCAATGATAGATTCTTGGATCATTATTTATCACAAAACTCTAGATGCCGAATTGCCCCTATGTAGACAAATAGTTCAAAGGCCCATTTATGACAATGACCAATTAAATAATTAGTTGAGAGGAAATGCCATTAAGTTGATAATATCCTTTAAATCTGTTATGATCATCTTTTGTTAGCAGATTAATTATTATCTGTCACAAAGTAGGCTACATTTTTTTTTATATGAAAGCTGCATTAAAACCGAGAAGCTGATGATAATACAACTGCAACTTAATTAGCAAGTAGTTATAAGTTAAAGATGCGTGTAAGATTTTGAAAAAGAGCTGACAGTTAGTTTCACTATAATAGCTAAATAAAAGACAATGAAAAGGGAATACATTGAAAATTTCAGTCAAATTACTTCATTCTGAGTGAAGTTATGACTGTTTGAGGAATAGTGTGTTATTGCCACTGTTGTTACGATTATCACTTTTTAATTAGACTATTAACTGACGATAGTGTTTAAATCCATTAAAAATCACAACCATTCAATGATGTAGAAAGTTGATTATGGTCTAATTAATGATTTATATAACATTTGAGGCCAAATAGACAGATTAAGCTCTAATGTATCTTTAAATCTACCAGGTCTGACAACTTTTGACGTAGATATTTTCCAAATTAGATCCAAGTAGGATGCATTCTGTCAGGATTTTAGCTGGGAAGATTCACTGTAATAAAGACATTAATCTCACCATTTCTGTTTCTATAATCATATCTAAAAACAAGTCATCAAATAGTTCAATACATAGGGTAGCTGTTTAAAACATGGGTCATGAAAGGGCAACGGAAGATTAATGAATATTTTCTATTTTTCCGATAGCTTGGATGATTATCACGTTTTATTTATGTTAGCTAGGAAGAACGAGAAGCCGGTCAAATTTTAATTATTTCTGCTAACTAAATGATAAATTTGTTTTGGATATACTGCAGGATTTAGCCTGACAAAGCCTGTCATTGTCAGTTTCAGCTCTGTTATTTCTAGACTTGCTAATATTACCTTCAAAATTAAAAAAAATGAACAGGTTTTATAGACTGCTCAGGAGTGTGTTTTTGTTACCTGCTAACTGATGTTTTCTTTTTGATCATCTAAATTACTATATAAAGAATGACCCTTTTTTTCCAAAATTTGTCTTCTGACAAAATATGTCTTTGACAATTGAATTTCCATTTCGAGTGTAGTGCACAACCTATCTGCACATCTGCAATGACAGTATTTAAAATGCAGGTAAAAAAATATTTAGGTCAGAGATTTCAAACATGTATTAGTATTATCAATAATGAAATGAAATACTGTACCAGACCTAGCTATTCACCTCTATAGTTTATTTGTTTACCATACAGGTTTACAGTGGCTTAGTGAGTAAAATGTTTTAAAATTGACTCATTAACCTAGAGATCCCATAGTCGATTCTCTTTGTTGACAGAGAGAAAACTCATTGGGATTTTCAGTCATGGTTCCTCGAGGTCAGTGGTGCAGGACAGGTGGCCTGGCAAGGAACAAAATATAGTCATTCGGATGGGACAAAAAACTGAGGTCCTGTGTACACATTGGTGTGCATGTTAAAGAACCCTTGGCAGCTGGGTTAAGTGTAGGGTGTAGAGCCGCTGTCCTTAGAGGTAAGGTAGTTACTGGGAAGAGGCTTACCCAGCCTACTTGCCACCAGCAGTCACCAGTCGAGAAAAGGCACAATTTAGAAAGGTCATGGATGATTGTATAAATGATCCGATCAAATAGATGAAGCAGTTTAATTATTTATACAAGGTGATACACCCAGATATTTGCAATGATGCCAATAGTAAAGATCTTCACGTGAAAATGATTCAGCTTAGATTTTTATTACAAACAAAAGCAAGGAAATTTCTTTGGGCATAACAGATTAACAATACATTTTTTTTTAAAGTAAAAAGAGTGAAGATGAAAGCTCAGCAAAGACAGCAACATTTGCAGAATTGGTAATTATATAAAAAAAATATATGTTACTTTTATGCAAGGGTTCCACCGTGTGTTTCTCTTTTTAAAGTAGAATCAAGGAAAATGTCATTGGTTACTTCAACCCAAAGTTTGTCTTGCTCTGACTGGCTAAAGATTCCATAATTATAAGTTTCTAGTCAAGTTCATCCTGTATTATGACAATGACTAGTGGTGTATTAGAAATCTATAAAAAGGTTTTTATTTTCAGTTTTCATATGCAACATGTTTAGATCGAATATTGATGCTTGTTGGTGCTATTTTTGCTATTGCAAGTGGAGCAGCATGGCCTGTTATGTCAATCATATTTGGAGACATGACAAATACTTTTATAAATGGTAATTAGAAAAATTTGTGTTTTAATTATATTATGCGTTACTGAAAATCATTAATCATATCTGAAGTCTATGGTCACGGTACTGTGAAGATTGGATGTTATAATTCCATGAAACCGTAATAATAATATAAGCAATCACATGTAATCACATGTCAGCCACTTCTTCAAAGTGGTAGCGGGAAAGTCATTTTCTTCTTGCTGTGTTAAGATGAGTGGAATTATGTTTAATACTTGATTAATTGTTGATTTTGATTGGGTTAGAACATCTCAATCATATATGTTTTAAATGCTGTCTTTTCTAGAAGATTTTAATACATTCAGAAAATGTTTCGTGTGAAAATTAATACATAGAATATTGTTCAAATATAAAGGATTTGATGACAGTCTATTTACTTTGGAGATTGTTCTAAGGCACCATTAGTAATTGCTATTCAATTCAATACTGAAATTCATTGACTATTTATTGGAACTGTAGAATGTCCAGACTTGGTGTAGATGTTCATACAATTAATATCTATACAGAAATCAATGATGGGCATTTTTTGCTTAGAGATAAAAGTAAACAAATTCAAGGATAAGCGATTTGATTTGTCAAACAGGATAGCTTTCACTCAGTGAGTGCAACGTACGTGACTAAATTTTCTACTAAAGTTAACAGTGTTACACAAGCAATTTGATTAGTCATTGCATTATAAAAATATGAATGTTCAAGTAATTAATGAGTGTCAAATATTTGTTTTTGTCCCCCGCCTTTCAAAGAAAGCAGGGGACTATTAAAAAAGGGGTTCATCCGTCTGTCTGTTTGTCTTTCTGTCTCTCTGTCTGTCCACCTGTCTGTCTGTCCGTCACACTTTTCGGGACACAATAACTCTTTTTCTAATTGAGCTAGAATGTTCAAACTTGGTGTAGGTGTTTATTAGGTCAATGCCTTGATGGAGTTCGAAGATGAGCATTTTCGGCTTAGGTAAGCAGAGATAAGCAATTTGATTGATTGATTCTTTGGGACACGATAACTTTAATTCTAATTAAGTGAGAGTGATGAAACTTGGTGTATAGTTTCATTACATCAATACCTTGACTAAGTTCGATAATGATCATTTTCTGCTCAGGGTAAGCAGAGCGATAAGCAATTTGATTGGCCGAGACTTTGGAACACAATAACTCCCCTTCTAATTGAGCTAGAATGTTCAAACTTTGTGTAGGTGTTTATTAGGTCAATGCCTTGATGGAGTTTGATTAGTCATTGCATTATAAAAATATGAATGTTCAAGTAATTAATGAGTGTCAACTATTTGTTTTTGTCCCCCGCCTTTCAAAGAAAGCAGGGGACTATTAAAATGGGTTCATCCGTCTGTCTGTTTGTCTTTCTGTCTCTCTGTCTGTCCGCCTGTCTGTCTGTCCGTCACACTTTTTGGGACACAATAACTCTTTTTCTAATTGAGCTAGAATGTTCAAACTTGGTGTAGGTGTTTATTAGGTCAATGCCTTGATGGAGTTCGAAGATGAGCATTTTCGGCTTAGGTAAGCAGAGATAAGCAATTTGATTGGTTGATTCTTTGGGACACGATAACTTTAATTCTAATTAAGTGAGAGTGATGAAACTTGGTGTATAGTTTCATTACATCAATACCTTGACTAAGTTCGATAATGATCATTTTCTGCTCAGGGTAAGCAGAGCGATAAGCAATTTGATTGGCCGAGACTTTGGAACACAATAACTCCCCTTCTAATTGAGCTAGAATGTTCAAACTTTGTGTAGGTGTTTATTAGGTCAATGCCTTGATGGAGTTCGATGATGAGCATTTTCTGCTTAGGGTAAGCAGAGATAAGCAATTTGATGGGTTGATGCTTTGGGACACGATAACTTAGTTCTATTTAAGTGAGAGTGATAAAACTTGGTGTATAGTTTTATTACATCAATACCTTGACTAAGTTTGACAATGAGCATTTTCTGCTCAGGGTAAGCAGAGCGATAAGCAATTTCATTGGCCGAGACTTTGGATGACAATAACTCTCTTTCTAATTGAGCCAGAATGTTCAAACTTGGTGTAGGTGTTTATTAGGTCAATGCCTTGATGGAGTTCGAAGATGAGCATTTTCTGCTTAGGGTAAGCAGAGATAAGCAATTATATTGGTTGATGCTTTGGAACACGATAACTTTAGTTCTAATTAATTCAGAGTGATGAAACTTGGTGTATAGTTTCATTACATCAATACCTTGACTATATTCGATAATGAGCATTTTCTGCTCATGGTAAGCAGAGTGACAAGCAATTTGATTGGTCGAGACTTTGGAACACAATAACTCTCATTCTAATTGTGTTAGAATATTCACACTTGACGTAGGTGTCAATTAGGTGAATTCCTTGATGGAGTTTGAAGATGAGAATATTCTGCTTAGAGTAAGCAGAGATAAGCAGTTTGATTGTTTGATTGGGACACAATTACTTTAGTTCTAATTAAGTGAAAGTGAGGGCACTTGGTGTATAGCTTTATTATATCAATACCTTGACTAAGTTCGATAATGAACATTTTTTGCTGAGGGTAGGCAGAGTGATAAGCAATTTGATTGGTCGAGACTTTGGAACACAATAATTCTCCTTCTAACTGAGGTAGAATGTTCAAACTTGGTGTAGGTGTCTATTAGGTGAGATGTTTAAACTTGATGTAGATGTTCATTAGGTGAATGTCTTGACTGAGTTCAATGACTAACATTTTGAGCTGAAGCTAAGCAGAGCTAATCGATTTCATTTGTCGATGGTTTGGGACAAGATAATCTTGATTCTATCTGATAGAGAGTAATGAAACTTAGTGGAAAAAAAATAAATGTGCGATTAATTAATATGTGTCATCTATTTATTTTGCAATTTCGGTGGAGGACATCAGCCTCACTGTTGGCTGGTTATTTTTGAATTAAGGCAGGGAACATCACTCTTACTGTTGGCTTGCTGTAAGCAATTTTCAAAATAATTTGTTTTCTTTTTTATTCAGGTACTAACACATCATCGAGTAACGCATCATTGGGTAATGTAACAGTGGATTTTGAAGAGCAAATGACAAAGTATGCTATCTACTATGTTATTATTGGAGCCTCTGTATGGGTCTCTTCATTTATACAAGTAAGTTGAAATTTTATGTGCAGCATTTATATTAATTTGGCATGCCACAATAATTTGTAAATTTCTCATTATCATTACAATTACTCCTAATACACTAATTTTTTATTTGGGAGTATATTGTCGTCATCTCTGTGAGTCCACAATCTCAGAGATCCAGATAACTTCCAGGGTTACTTCCCTTTGTTAAAACCCCCCCAACTTATTAGCACCCTAGAGACTTTAATTATAATCAGATCTTTATGAGTTGTATAGCTCATAACATTTTAAACTACTTAGCTGCTGAGGTGTGTATGTTTGGTTTCCTGGCAATCTATGTTTGATGGAATTATCCATGTTTTTTTAAGAACAATTGTTGTTTATTAAGTTTTATATATACCTAAATCTATTTTTAGATTTCATTTTGGACAGTAGCATGTGAAAGACAGACACACAAGATACGTAAAGCTTTCTTTTGGTCAATTTTACGTCAAGATCAGGCATGGTTTGATAAACATCAAAGTGGTGAATTAACAACAAGATTAGCAGAGTAAGTTTACTGTAGAGTGACATCAGTCAGTTTTAATCTTTTGAGATTTTTATATCCTCAATATATAGTGTTCCCCTTGTCAGTACATTGCAGTCTGTCCTCCCAGATTCAGTTTTACATATCTTTTTGTCTCTAGTGTTTTGAGATATTGTGTGTAGCTATTTTATGGGCAGATTAAGTTATGTTCCAATTACATGAGATATTGCCCTTGAACTTGAGAAAAGTCATGAAATTTCAATTTTCCAGGCTTCTTTTAGCCATTACTTTAAGATTTTGGACTAAAACTTGACACAAAGGTGTATTATTTGTAGTTACATACAGATCAAGTTCCAGTTATGTACCAATCTAAAAACATTTATTAGCCATGCTCCTGAAAATATATAAGCTGAGTTGAAACTCATGATTGTGTGCAGTGCTTGCAGATATTAAACTGAAACCTGGTAACTAGTAACTTTAGCTTTCAAAAGATATTCATAAAGATCATTCCATAATTTGACCACTGGTTACAATAGGAAAAAAAAGATTTAATCAAATAGGCCATCCCCCTTTCTCTGTTCTTTTTTTTTAAAGCAGATATGAATGTCTGTTTTTATTTTTCAGTGATTTAGAAAGAGTTAGAGAAGGACTGGGAGATAAGTTTTGTTTATGTCTACAGTTTGTATCTCAGTTTTTATCAGGTTTTGTGATTGGTTTTATTAAAAGCTGGAAGTTGACGCTTGTCATGATGTCTTTAACACCAGCTTTAGCTGTTTGTGGAGCTTTCATTGCTAAGGTAAGAAAAAGGAAAATTCAGAAAATCAATTGAAATGTATAACTAATAAGGATTTCTAGATTTGTTTTCAACCTTCATCCAATGACCAATGATTGCACATGCCACGGATTAGGATTAGGTTCTTAGCTAAGGAGTCTTGAGCTGTTTTAAAAGATTGATTCTGCTTACTGTAATTGTTGTATATTTCCAGGTTGTTGCCTCTTTTTCAAAACGTGAGCAGACGTCATATGCTGAAGCAGGTGGTATAGCAGAAGAGGTTTTATCATGTATTAGAACAGTTACATCATTTAATGGACAACAGTGTGAAATTGACAGGTAATACACATATGTTTATACATGTATCTATAATAATTCACAAATAGTTATAGTTCATTATACATGAATTTATTAAACATACATTATGCAAGAGCTAAATCTGTCTATTGCAGGTCTTTCTTTAGGCCTGAAATGTTATCTAAATTATTAATTAGACATTAATTAACTTATCCAGACCATATTCAACTCTAGATGGCATTGCTAGCCTGCGATCTTAAGTGGATTGTGAGCCGATTTACTGCATAAATTTCCTTCTCGATTAAATGGATAATCGAGACTATGCTGTTTATCGTACTGACTTTAGTAATGATGACCGAGGCTAAGCAGAAATTTCATTCGCTTAGTTCTCAGTTCATAGTGGATCAATTTGAATGAAATTTTCAGCAAATTGCCTTTATGTTATCTAGTTTTTAATTATTATAGTGAGAACTGCCAACTCATTATCGAATCTCCCATAATGTATCTTTAACTAGCTGTCTGCCATCAATAGATATCTTCAGGAAAAAACATGAAGATCAGACTTGTGATAACTTTACTCTTCAATCATTTTTAGTTCAAACCTGCTTAAGGATAGTATTCTATGGCCAAAGTATTAATGTTTTATTAAACAAATGAAAGTTTATTTTGGTGCCAAGGAAAGGTGCTTTTATTTATATCTAAGTGTATTAATAGCCTCTTTGATATCCCACACTGCTTGTATTCTGACAACCTTGCATTGAGCATATGTAGGCAAAAGCATCTGAAGCATGCTGCAATCGACAGTGTGCATATTGAAAATAAGAACCAAATCCAGCCAAACATTTCTTTAAAATTGTATTCTGTGGGAGTGGTGATAGAAGATCTCCTTAGTTATATGAAATGAAAATTATATAATTGTGTTTTATAGGTATTCAAGAGCACTTAAAATCAGTAAAAGATTGGGTATTAAGAAATCTGTTTTTGTTGGTCTGGGAACAGGGATTACAATGTTCTTCATTTTTAGTGCCTATGCTTTAGCTTTTTGGTAAGTTATTACTTATTCATGATCAGGGCTGCCGACAACCAGTATCGCAGCACAATTTGCGATACATATTTTGTCCGTTGCTAATCAAAAATTAAAATCTAACGTTTTTGATTCGCAGTAACTGCGTATCATTAATATGCCTGTCATTTTGGATATTGACACAAAGATTTATCCACATTTCTTAACACTTTCAACGTGTATAAAATATCAAATAAATTTTATAAACAAAACGGAATTCTCCGTGTGACATTTTCTTCTCGAACTACCCAGACTCAATTCATTATACTATATAATACAGGGACATAATTCTATGAATCGTGACTATTAAACCGGAAATAGGGAATCAAGTAGTACCACTCACGTTGTGAGACATGTCAATTTCGAGTAATTATTTGAAAAAAAATAATTTCAATATATCCCCCACGTATTGTAAATAAAATATAAAAAATAAATACGTGTAAACGTATTGTAAAATGAGAAATCAAAGTAAGAATTCCCGTTAACTATTATTGTTTATATCGCGTGCGTCTAGTTAATCGTGATTATTCGTAAAATACCGCGCACTTCCGATTGAACAAAAATAATAACACACGATAAAAAGCAGACGAAATTGTTTTCTAACGAAGAAATAAGAAGCCACTGCCAAGAATTGGCTTCAGACATAAGGCCTAACCAAAAGTCTACATTCATTCAGAAATGTTCACAGCTACCTGTAGAAGTGCTAAAATTCTAAAAAATCTTAAGAATGAAATCTAATCATTTGTTATCAATTAAAATTAAAATAATCTTGTTATTTAGGTGTTTTATGTTGAAACTGAAAAACTGCTAATAAATTTTTAAATTTGCTAATCAAATTTGGCAAAATTGGACTTTTTGATTAGCAGTGCTGCTAATCATCTGTGAAAAATTACCGACAGCCCTGTTCATGATCAGATATTCAAAGATAAATATCATTTCAATCATTACTCACTATTGTCACTTGATAATTCTCTCAAAGATAAAATGATTTCACAAATATATTTCATTGATACATATACCAGGTAATTTGCAAAAATACTCTTAATCTTAGTTAAATGTTAATCCAATGCCAAAGTCTTCCAACCATATTTAACCACTGGAATTAAAAGAACAAAATTTAAAGGCTCAACAAGCCATCCCATTCATATATATTTCAGGAGTCAAAAGTGTTCACCAAGTATAAAAATACCATCATGTAGAATGTGCTAGCTTATACAAAAGTGATAATGCTAGGTTCCCACTGTCACGATTCGTACTGCGAATGAAATCTTGGTTTTAATCGTGGAGTAATCATGGTGATCCTATCGGGTCTTATCATATATCGATGTCAGTTGTAGCAATCATGTTGATTGTATCGAATCGTATCTGAACGTATTTGCATGTACCAGATTGTGGACTCAATAAAGGTCACTCCTGTCGCAACGTATCGCACGACAGTGGGAACCTAGCATAACACATTTATTATTACTATTTTTCAAAAAGAAAGATAAAATTGTAAACTAAGAATGACCATTACTGGTACTGGTAATTTATCGATTTGAATAATTGTTGGACCAAAATGTTTTTTGATAAAGAAGTAATTTTGATTGTATATGGTCTTAGGTTCTAAATTGAACCTTTATTGAGCCATGTTGTGGCTTTAAAGAGAAAAAAACACATCTTTTTCTTTAAGTTCATTATTCACTTTTGTACAGGTTTGGATCAACCCAGATCTATGAATACAAGAAGGACGAGGATGAAGGTTTAGATCCTGGAACAGTGATGACTGTAAGTAATTTACTCTATGAGAAATCAGTTGACTTGAAACAACCTCATCAAGGCTATATTCAAGATGACATCATTGTTTGTTTTATTGTAGGTATTTTTTGCAGTGATGATTGCCTCAATGTCTTTAGGTAATGCCAGTCCTCATGCTACTGCTGTAGCTACAGCTAAAGGTGCTGCTGCTGTTGTACTAGAAATAATTAGAAGGGTAAGTAGTTTACTTATGTTAAGAACGTTATATTGGATACAAATTTTGATAATTCACTTTTATGATTCTTTCATCTTCTTTACAAACCAATATTGCATACAAATTTTGATAATTCACTTTTATGATTCTTTAATCTTCTTTACAAACCAATATTGCATTTTACTGTGTGTAAATTGTAAATTTCCTAATTTTTCTGATCTTCGTCCATTGATATGTGGAAACTGTATATAAGACGTATGATTGTCAACTAAATGAGTTCATGTTTATCTTGTATGTTTTAGCTTTCCATTCATTATTTAATGGTTTAGAAGGAGTTTTAGCAACACTCGTCAAAAATAACTAAGTCTCAGTAGGTCAGCACTAATTAGACAAGGCTAAGATTATTTTGAAAATGTTATTATTCAGTATTCAATATTGCATTTAGTTTCTTGTAATATAATGCCTTTTTAAATCATTTATTTATTCTAGAAATCTGTCTGGTGGGGTTCTACTTATTATTTTTTGTTTAAAGAGCACATCAAGTGAGAAAACAATATTATATGAACGTATAGCCATTGGTTACTATATACACATTACAGCAAGTTCACACCAATCTGAATGATATTAATAGACCTCCCGTAAAAACGACTTTGCCAATTATCGAAACCCTGTTAATCCTTTAGATGCCAGTGCTGTCACAGTGACCGAATGAATATTAGAAATGGTTATTCCTTAATTACCAATACACACCGCGATGTGTACTCATTAACACCTGACTGATTCTTTAATCCCCTAATGATATAAGACAATTAACTACGGGATAATTTGATTTGTACTTTATTTTAATTTTAGATCCTATTTAGAATTTGTTATAGGCAATACAAATAAAATAAGTTGTTTCTTGGACCCCTCCCGCACCTAAAAATGGATATGCGTACAGTCGATATATTGATCTTGATGAAAAAAGAAAATATATAACACCCGCCCAACCATTGACACATTAGTCATAAAACAAATTTGTCGCATGTTCCTACTTTATTTATGTCCGTTGTCTGACATTTTAATCTCCTTGAAGTCAGCTGACAGCATGTGGAAGATAGTCATATCCTAATTGTATATAACATCCCAAATCAATGGACAGTAATTATAACTTTCAGTTTATACTTGATGATACTTATCTACTGCCCAGTCCTTTACCAAGCGTGAACGTGACGATGATGACACACCCGTGACCTCTGGTTCTACTTGAGTTTTGTGACGTCACACAATAATGTTTATCTGTAACCATTTTATTTCGTAAGAATTGCCACGTCTGACAGCCAATTTGTCACTATAGAATATTTTAACCAATTTCCATTCACTGACAACAAAATATTCGTACGTATACGCACATATATCCATACGATTTGCTGCCTATTAACATCTTCAACTTTTTTCTGTATTAAAACTACGTCTTTTAAGACCCCATACAGAAATTCCTATCTCCAATGGCACTTCCACGCGATCTCGCTGTCGCATGGAATTCATCGCCTACGGCACTGCTTACTACGAAACTAGTAAAATGGTTGATTTGGACGCCAAATACCTGTGAATGGTCACATACACCAATAACAGACATAATAATACGTGGAAGTTAGCTATGTCTTTCTATGATAATGCAGCATTTTAAACTCTAAAATATTCCAGTCACACATATGTAATCTATAACAATTCAAGTTGAGAAAGGCAGCTCTGTTGTTGTTGTTAGTGTTTAATGTCCGCTTCCACCGAAGGTGATATCGCAGACAAGTTGTCTTTTTTTTATTTTCATTATCTTAGCGCACGCGCAGGGGTCTTTTCTGTGGGAGGAAACCGGAGTACCCGGAGTAAACCCACAAGGTTGAGAAGGCGCCCCTATCTCCAAGCCACATACGCTGACACCAGGGATCGAAACCACAACCGCAAGCCAGAGGTGACCGGCCAGCTAGAGGTCGAAGCGTGACACTCTAGACCACTAGGCCATCCCAACCACCAAAGGCAGCGCTTAAAAATACTTTGATTTATAGTGATTTTTAGCTGCTTACATATAGATAACTATAATGAGATAACGATTAGGTCAGTCAGTATGTTAATTGAACCGTCAATATGTTAATTGAACCGTCAATAAACACTAGTCAACTGATCATAATGGTGTATATTCTATGTGTGGTCCCTCTTGAGGTCACCAGCCAATCAACCGGATTAAGGTTGTAATTGAAAAATTAGATAGTGTTTTCTTGTTTGCGGTACTTAAAAATTAATATGTCGAATAATTTTAATCACATTGGTGGCCGTAATGTTTATATAGTAACCACTGGCTATACGTACATAAAATACTTGATGTGCTCCTTAACACTCCGTCTGTATGACTTGTACAAATTGCTTTATGAAAGGTTTTTTTTTTCTTCAGGTTCCTCCAATTGATTCATCATCAAATGCAGGTAGACGACCAGATAGTGTCAAAGGCCAGATTGATTTTGTTGGTGTTGATTTCAGTTATCCGACCAGACCAGATGCAAAGGTAGCATATAAAGTGCTAGTAGTGAATATTTGTCTAGTATTTCTGTGGTCCCTTTAAGATAGCCTTTTATAACTTCTTAATCCATTTGGTAAAATCAATTGTAAAGTATATTAAGTATTGTTTAATGATCGAGAGCGAGACATTAAGTAATATATTGTAACAACATGAGGGCCGTGAGGCCCGAATGTTTTTACAATATATTACGCAATGTCTTAAGCTCGAGACCATTAAACAACTTAAAATACAGACACTTGCACGTGCTTTGCAATGAAATACGTCACTCGAGTTCAATATTTTACCAAGTTACGCTTGGCACATTGCCCGTACGATTATTTGAAATAATGGTACTCCAACATCAAAGGATGACGTCACATCTGTATTTTAAGCATACTTATGTCATTTGTGGATGTCATTGGGGCATTGTGCTACCATTAACTCTAGCTAGTTGAGATGGCTATGATGTATGACTCAAAGTATGTTTACCTTTTCCAGAACAGCCTATACCAGTTGTCATAAGTCTCACCAAAGTGAGAATTGTCCCTTGAAAGGTTCACTTGTCTTTGGGTCCATCTTTCATTTAGACATTCAGTTCCCCCTCGTACTTTGTGTATTGTTGTTTATTAGGTCTTCTCAAATCTCTTTGGCTTTTTGTATTTTCTATAATGTGTTTGTATACTGTTACTTCACAGTTATGCTGCACCATGTATTTGACCTACACTTCTCCACAAATTAATCATGTTCTTTCATAGAGACCCATAGTTATATAGTTAGACTGGGCAAAACTTATTATAGTGTGTGTTTCATTTTAACCCGAAATATAAAATGTACATGTAGTAGAACTCTAATAGTAAGACTCTTGGGAATGCGAGCCTCTGCCATGATTTGACTAATGATGTGTTAGTCTACCAATGATGCACAGAACTGAGGACATTAAAGGGCAGATGGCTCTATTTTTTGGAACCTTGAAATAGACAAAAAATGGTTTTCAAAATAATATTAATGTGATATGAATGTATGCAGAGTGATTAATATTCAATTTTTGAAAAATATATTGTAATTTCTAATTAATTATGTTCATTGAAATATGTGAACAGTTGAAATTGAATGGCAGTCTTTTACGCCTGCTTAGTCCATTCTACATGTTTTATAATTTTTTATTTTGTTGTTTGTGAATCAGCCTTAACTGATTATTTCCACATTGTGTTGTAGGATATATTTTTATTTGTTCATTATAAAATGGCACCCGTACCGATTATGAAATGTTAATTATGTTTTAAATATTAGATATTAGGATTCTATACTTTCAAGGCAAGATAACAACATCAATATTGATTAAAATTAATCAATACTGAGTTAGAGACTTTGCTCCTTTAAACAGTCATTTAAGGAAATTATTTTGTACATTTCTTTATGCTATATGTAAAATATAGAAGTTTTATTTGTATTACAGGTTTTAAGGAAATTTGATTTAAGTATTGAACCCGGGCAGACCGTTGCATTAGTTGGTTCTAGTGGTTGTGGTAAATCTACAACCGTTAATATGATACAACGATTTTATGATCCATTATCTGGAAGTGTTAGTATTATATCTTACTTATTTACCATCATACAACCAAGTCTTTTTCTGTAAAAGTTATGCATTATGTAAGAGCTAAGTCTGCCTATTGCAGGTAATTTTGACTTCTAATGTTATATGAATTATTAATTAGGCATTTATTCACAAGCTCTAGACCATTGGATGACCGAGATATTGAATGGATTAGAACATCTGTTTTATTTAATTATTTTGTGTTGAAGATCGCTCAGTATATTCATTTTTCATTATCTATTTTTGAACAACCAGTATTATAGTCAGCTCTTTATCTAAAATATTACATAATACAACTTTAATAAAGTCTGAATCTTTGTTGTTGATTTATGGCTACACAAATGATCAATTAGATTGAACCATTATTTAATTTTAAATTTTGAATGATTTTTCATATGTACTGTGTAGGTTTATCTAGATGGTCACAATTTAAAAGAATTAAATATAAAATGGTTGAGACAGAATATTGGTGTGGTATCACAGGAACCTATATTATTTGGTCGAACTATAGCTGAGAATATTCAGTTAGGGGATCCTACAGTAACCTATGATCAGATAGTTGCAGCTGCTAAATCTGCCAATGCTCACGATTTTATATCCAATCTACCAAAAGTAAGTACCCTCCCTGTGCATTTATTGTATAATTTTCTGTTAAGAATCTTGTAAATTTTGTCACATGTCTCTGCGGTAGGTGATTGTACACATTGGTAGTGCACTGAAAATAAAGATATTTGGAATCATGCCTTCATTCGCCCAGATGATGCAGAAAAGTGGGATGTTAAACTTCATTTAATTTTATCTTGTGTTTTCAATTCAAAGAAGAGTACACAGACATACCATTTAAAATCTATCATCAACTTGGTAATTTTTGATTAGTTAGCTCTCATGAACAGTTTTTATTAGCGTGTGCTTTTTAAAATTAAATAACTAAAAAAATACTCATTCTAGCCCACATATATTACTAATCATTACAAACATATAATTATGGCTGATGAAATCAATAGGAACCAATGTAATTTCAAATGGCCTTAACTTTGGTTAATATTAAATGGTTTGAAAAATTTCTGGACCCATACAATTTCTTCTACATAATAGTTTATATATTACTCATCAGGTTTCAATTTACTTCAGAAATTTGCCAACAAGTCATTTTTTTATGTATTTTGTCCCAATAACATCACAATATTTGGTATTAGGCAACACAAATAAAATAACTTGTTTCTCGGGCACCGCCCGCACGCAAAATTGGTTGCGCGTGCAGTCTATTTATTAGTCTTGATGAAAAAAAATAAATATGTAACGCCCGCCCGCACATCGACAAGCAAGTCGTAAAAAAAATATCCCGCATGTACCTACATCCGCCATACATGTATATCTATTCAAATGTATTAAAACTGATTCAGATGAACATGCTGTCTTTTTTATCCGAACAATGGCGAAGTTTGGCAGATTTGCCTTTTTTATTGATATCGAAAGAACCTCCATTTTGTATCACGTGATATTAATTACCTCCCCTGATAAACTAGAATTTGATTCGTGTTAAAAGTCATTGGCGACAATATTTCAATCATTCGATCGTAATCGGCTCATTATTGCCGGCTTCAGTCGGTCCTTGTTTGGAAAATCCTATTGATAAAATAATGAACCGTAGAACAGGTTAATTAATTATAGCTAAGAATACGATACGATGACGATAGTCGTCATAATGCATACCTTAGAATCTGGGTCATTATAAGCACATTTACGGTAGTTTCGATAATCCGGAAAATAATAATTGGTTTACCGATTTGATGGTTTTACTGACCAGTTGTTAGTTAGATTTAAATAGTCATTCAATATAAACACCGGATAGAACACCGAATATCCTGAGAAACACACCGAATATCCCAAGAAACAGTATTTCCGGCAATCTCCAATACCGATGACACGGTGTGACATGCATTGGTTGGAATTCGGTAAATAATTATAAATAACCCGGCGACACTAGATTTAGTTTTAAATACTGTTTACCATGATTATTATTTTTGATACACCTGGTGAAAGAGGCTTAGTTTTCAAAAATATTGTTGTCTTTATGGAGGGCTATTACATAGTCGTATGGAATTTTATTTTAAACCAATTTCAATTATGTGAATTAAATATGGAAAATTATTTTCCTTTCAGTCAGTGTTCAGTCTCAGTGTTTTAGTAGACTTGATTTTGGGTTTATGTTTTAAGTATGTACAATAAAGTTGAATATAACGGAAAGCAAAAACGTAAACAAGTAATGACTTTCTCATTTAAAAAAAAAAAAAGAAAGACCGCCCTCCCGCCCCAACAATTTTCAGCAATAGCCAAATTTTATTTTGCACCATCAATGAGTAAAAAAAAAAAAGAAACCGCCCTCCCTCCCTACAGTTTCAGCTGTCAGTTGCCCGAGAAACAAGACATTTATTTTGTGTGGCCTTATCTTGTGTATTTATTGTGTTCTAATGTTGGAATTTGTAATTTGACTGACAGGAAAGTTCTCCAACCTGTCAAACTTCACTGTCAGTCAGTCAGTCAGTCAAACTGGCAAATATGACTATAATAAGAGCCACTGTACCTAATCTTACTTTTGTTTCCTGAAGAATAAATTTTTATTGAGTAAAACTTTGATATCATCTGTAATATTTAATAGAGTTATGATACACTGGTTGGTGAACGAGGAGCTCAACTTTCTGGTGGACAGAAACAACGTGTAGCCATTGCTAGAGCTTTAGTACGTAATCCTAGAATATTGTTGTTAGATGAAGCCACGTCCGCTCTTGATTCATCAAGTGAAAAAGTTGTACAGGATGCCCTAGAAAAGGTAAGTTTCAGTTTTGAATACATTCTTTACAGGTGTACACTGTGCAACCTTGATCCATAACTGGTATATAGACAAAAAGACAATCTATTTCGTTTTGTTTTTTATAGTTCAAAATTCCGCTTTACTTGTCTTTACTACACAAGGATCTGGAAGAGTTGTTATCATTAACGTGTTCTGGATGATGTGAGGGATTAGCCAATGTAACGGTCTGTTACGGCGAGCTTTTGAAGTAAGGTGCACGGAACTGTGGGTATTCCACTAGAAACATCAATGCTGATTGGTTAATCAAATGTCTGACGTCATAGGGTCAAAAGTCGCTCATGACCTCTGACGCTACCTCCCAAAACAACAGGTCAGATCATCATGTAGTGTAGGCCATCGAAAGTATAAAAAAAACGAAACGAAATATAAATCTGTATTTTAATCAGATTGACAAAAAGACTATTATTCATTCAAATAATTTGTTAAACTTAATTTGGTACTACATAGAAAAATATGAAATCATCGATAGATTCACTGAAATTAAAATATGAAATTATTGATTATGTGGTGCATACATAACAGTTTATACTGCTTAATCAACAAAAACAGTTCATTGAGTAGATTATTTGATGGATAATTTTAGGCTAGAGCAGGTAGAACTTCCGTTGTTGTTGCTCATCGTCTGTCCACAATACAGAATGCAGATGTGATCTATGTATTAGAAAATGGAATATTAGTAGAGCATGGTAAACATATGGAATTGATGGATAAAAAGGGTGTTTATTATCAACTAGTTACATTACAAACTATCGCAGAGATGAAAGATAATGGTGATGAAGGTAAGATAAAATGATGTCATTGATTTTTTTTTTTCAATTTCATTATCTACTCTGGTAATTGGATAACCCAGTATTAATTAGTCGTCGATTTTAGAATATTTAAATTTAATGAATGTGCCGGTTGTATTTAGTCAAAGGTTTCATCACAAAATAACACATCACTTAAAGGGGAAGACCAATGATTTTCAACAAGGTTTCCAAAAATCTTAAATATATATTGAAAAATAATCCTCTCTGTAACACAAGCAAAAAAGTTTTAATAAAAATTAATTTCTCGCTTACAAAAACATTTTTGCTTGTTTTACAGAGAGGATTATATATGAATATTTATTTAAGATTTATGGAAACCTTGTTGAAAATCGTTGGTCTTCCCCTTTAAATCCTTGATTTAGGTCGAGCTGCTCATGATTTTCCACCAGGGTTTCCCCTTGTCAGTGCCAAAGGATAGAGGACCTGGTAAGGACTAGCATCTAGTCATTTGGGTGGCATGAAAATCAGACGTCCTGTTTTCACATTGGTGTACACCTAAACGAACCCTCGATAGTTGTAATTAAAAATAAGAGTAGGCTGTAGCACCGCTGTCCTGGCCCAATTGCCCTCATAGCACACTGCATGGCATATGGCCGTCTTCATTATACAGGTCAAACTCCTTTAATATGAAATAGAGAAGTAGATTTATAAAACCAGTAAAGATACAACTAAATTGTATTTTATGGTTGATGTTTTTGCCTTGTAGAAGTTGTAGCAATAGTGAAAGATCCAACCAGACAAAGAAAATTATCACGTCACCTATCTCGACATCTTTCACGCCAAGAATCACAATTGACCAAAGAGGTTGACATGGTAAGTACAGCAACTCTTCAATTTTATAGTGCCTAACATAGAAGTTATTCATTTACAACACATATTTCTTTACTTAGTCTTAGTTGTTTTTGATAAACTCTCTAAAAATCCTGGATATGAAAAAAAAATAAAGTCCATCTTATAGTTTAGGGGTCTCACATAAATGGTTGATGGTTTGAGGCATATATTCGAATGGGTTGCCAAAATATTGGCATGTTTGATTTACCAGGAAAACTGTATACTGTATATGAAATTTTTTCAGTTCAGATTACAATAATTGAGATCCAGAAATAAGTGAATCCTTAAAATTGATGGTGACAAATGGTATGAAATTAATAAGTGGGGCTTGAAACTAACCACAACAAACCTATTGTATTTTAATGTTACTCAAAATGTTTAAGTTTCAGTACTTTTTTTTCCAGGATGAGGACATCAGCAAACCAAATTTCTTCAGAATATTTCGTGAAAATGCTCCAGAATGGCCATTTATAGCTATTGGTAGTTTTGCTGCTGCTATTAATGGTAGTGTTATGCCATTGTTTGCTGTTTTCTTCAGTGAAATTATAGAGGTATATTTCTATTTAAACTTTTTTTTAATATTCCAGATAATACCAAGGTTCTGGACCCTCTAAGGGAAACAGATTTTATCCAATTTTGATGAAACTTAAAGTATATGTTTATATAACAAAAATCTTGGTTCCTTTCAATATTCGTGCATGTCATACCGTAACTTCTTGGATTATGGTCCCTGGTTGTACAAAAAACCACATTTTAGCTTCTGGACCGTCTAGAGGTCACAATTTTTATCCGATTTTAAAAAACGTTTAAATATATCACTGTTACAGGGTAATGAAGGTTGAGCGGAAGTTGGGCGGGAGTTTGGGGGAAAATTGAAATAAAACTACCCGACAAAATAAAGGGACATAACTCTTATTGTTATTTAAGCAAGCAGTTTTAGACCACTCACAAAAATCAGGTGTCAATATTATATTCTAATTTGTACGTAATAAAAAATAGGTGCACCTCGTTAATTTTCATATTTAATTCTCTTGCGGTATTCAAATTTATGTCAGTAATATTCCTACAAAATACAATAGAATGAAAGCGTACCGACTACTGCCGACCTGTACTTTTGATCAAATTTACGCCAGTAATATTCCTCCAAAATTAACGTATACTCTTCAAAAAAAAGAAGGGGATATTCAGAAACCATACAAAACTATGGAAATGCACTGCTGTTTTTATTAGAGGTAACCAGTGTATGTAAATAACAAGTCAGTCGCCTACACATGAATATAAACAGTTCATCTGGGTGGCTTATCTGACAGACCCATTTCACTCACAAAGAGATACTGTCAAAAGTGAAAATGGACGTTTTTGATTTTTGTCTTAATAATGAGTAATTGCTCCACCAATCCTCAAACATTCAGCAATTCGTCATGGCACGCTCTACTGTCCAATCACGATTTGGGACAATCTGACCCACTCCTCTTGCAGTGCCACGGCCAATTCTTGCAGTGTTGTCCGTTGACGTCGACCAACACGTCTCCAGATCATGTCCCAGACATGCTCTGTAGGGGAAAGGTCAGGATTCATGGCTGGCCAAGGCATATGGACAATATGGTAAGATGAAAGATGAAACGTCGACCTGCACGGTAGTACATATATATATTTGCCTCATACTGTTTTACTGTATTATCTTGATAACGTTGAGAGAATACTCTACGAAACGTCGCCTTAAATACACTAGTAGCTGTTTATCAAATAGCTCTGTCTCAATTAAACTCATCTCACTTAACTGTAAATTTTAAATTGAAGACATTTGGCAAACAAGGTGAGGAGTTAAAAGAAGATGGGTTATTTTGGAGTATGATGTTTTTAGCTCTTGGTGGATTAACTCTAATCGTCAACTTTATACAGGTACAATAAAAACATCCATTATTCAGTGTTTTCATTGAGCAATGTATTTACATGTCTTTGGGTTTTTGATACAGGTGTTGTTGTTGTTTTATTCAGTATTAGAGACTGCAGTATATGGATCCAGAAATTTTTTCAAACCATTTAATCTTAACAGTTTAGGCAATTTGAAGTTTGCATTTGTTCCTATTGATTTAACTAGCCATCATTATATGTTTGTAATGATTAAAAGTATAGCCTATTTGATGTATGTTGGATAGCATGAGTGTCAAAATATTATTTAACTTACAGGGAATTTTTTTATACGCCCACATTTTCATGTGGACGTATATTGCTGTCGCTCCTGTCCGTTTGTCTGTTTGGACGTTCGTCCATCCACAGTTTGTTTGTGGACACTCTACAGGTTACACATTCTTATCCAAATTTGACGAAACTTGAAATATAGCTTTATCTCCAAAAGATCTTGGTTCCTTTTGATATTGGCATGTATTGTATGGAAACTTCATGGATTATGCCCCCTGATTGTACGAAAGAGCATGGTTTTAGCTTGTGGACACTCTAGAGGTCACAATTTTAATCCAATTTAGATAAAACTTTACATGTATGTTTATAACCCAAAGATCTTGATTCCTCTCGATATTCGTGCATAACGGACAGCAGCTTCCTGGATTATGGCCCCTGATTTATGAAAAATCGTGTTTTTACGATTACAATTTTTATCCGATTTAAGAAAACGTTCAAATATATCGCTGTTACACCATAATGATGAGTTTGAATTTCGTGAAAATCAGACCGAAGCTGCCAGACAAAATTTTCGCTCGCTCTGTGTAAGCAAATTGTGTTAAAGTATGTAATATCAAGGTTGTGGACCCTCTAGAGGTCACAATTTTGATCCGATTTTGATGAAACTTAAAATATCTCGGTTCCTGTAGACATTCACACATATCGAACTGAACTTCCTGGATTATCGCCTCTGATTGTACGAAAAATAAACATTTTTGAGCTTGTTCTCTGTCCATCTCTTCAAAAATGTGGGCGTGTCTTGCATGGCAACCACTTGTTTATAATACTTTTCAGTGATCATTTGTCTATTATTTAAATGATGGACATTTTTATTGGCTTGCCTTTTATACACATATTATTGTCATTGTTCTAATGATTTTACAGACGACCTCTTATGGTACCTCTGGTGAAAAAATGACAGCAAGGCTTCGCCTTCTATCTTTTAAATCTATGTTACGACAAGATATAACATATTATGATGATCCTAAACATTCAACTGGTGCCTTAACTACAAGACTTGCTACTGATGCTTCCAATGTCAAAAATGTAAGATTAATATTAGTTGTTAAATATTGTAATTTTAATCTAAAACATACAGTTGTCAGACGCCCATCAGCAGAGTTTAAAGAGTGGCTTCCATGATCTTGGGCATGGTTTCAATTCCCCGCTTTTACCTGACAAAGAGTAGAGTCGCCTGTCCAACCTCATGGATTTTCTCAGGGTCCTCCGGCTAACTCCCACAGCTAAATACGTCTATGCGCAAGTGAATTACTGAAATAAGAATAAACAGTTTGTTACTCCCAAAATGACCTAGTTTGTGTCGATTGGACTTCAAACCCTATTTCTCTCTCTTTCTCTCTCAAGATCACTAGCTTAACACAAGTCTGAATTTCACTAAGGTTCACAACAATTCCAGCAAGTTTGAAAAACAAATCTTAATCATATTGACCTGTAGAGCACTTACAAGAATTTAGGCATAAAAAATGCTGTTTTGAAACAAAACAGTAAATTTTTAAATTTTTATGTCAATATCATATATCAAATGTATGCAGATCAAACACTACAATATGAAGATAATCTTGGACAACCTTTGTAATTGAATTATTTTATATTTCATTTAGGCTACAGGTATCAGAGCAGGAATAATTATACAATCTCTTGTTAGTGTAATAGCTGGTATGGCTATAGCTTTTATATTTGGTTGGAAGTTAGCCCTTGTCATTCTAGCAGCAGTACCAATTATGGCTGTAGCAGGTATATAGTTTACTCAATATATTACAAAATCTAGTTTCTTTTTGATGGGGCACTAAAGACTCTATGCATGATTTAGTTCTACAGAATACCTTGGCAACTGCTATGTGGTGAAAGTTGAATCTCTGGTTCAACTCCATTGACTATTTACAAAGAACTGACGAATTGAAAATTCCAACGATCTATGCTGCTCGACATGTAACAAGACATCTGCCATCTTTATTTACTGTGATCCAAATTAATGGGCCTGTTTTAATTCCAATTGAATCCAAGCTGTGAGATTATCTAGTGTTGGTATTTTGATTTTGTTTTCTTAATTAGATTTTCAACAATCAATATTAGCATGGAGATTATTTGAAACCACGACGTGTTTAACCTTGTGCTAAACAACACCTATTGATGAATTTCATGTCATAGCATTTTAAGATCAGTGTACATGCAGACATTGACTTATAAAAAGTGTGAAACTTTCTAGATCTTTTTTCTTTTGCTAATTTCTCCATTGCTATTTGAAACCATGATGTGTTTCTCCTCTTGCTAAAACAAAACTCGGCACCAAATTGGCGTTACAGCTTTTGAAGTGACTAGGTATACACAGTCAACAGCTTTTAAAATGTTCAAAGGTCTTTAGGTTTTAGCTGCTCCTTTGTTGATTGCTTTGTTAATATTTATGTGCCAGAATCATGAACTATTTTACATGATCGCTACAATGATTGCACAGTGCTCTGAACCTCGGGGCAGTTTAGGGCTCTTGTATTAAATATTATTTTGGTGAATATGAATTTAGGTGCATTTCATATGAAGGCTCTGACAGGTGGTCAGAAGAAAGGTGCAGAACTGCTGGAAGAAGCAGGAAAGGTATGTATGTTTAATAATTGTACCCTTTAAGATACCTTCTCGCAAACATTTTACACAAAAAACTTATTCAGGCAAAAACTGATCTATTAAAATTTTGCTTCAAATCCCTCTCAAATATTTTTAATCTCGTTTGTACCCTTCGAGATGCCTTCCCGCAAACAAGCTGTGTGATATGATTATTAATTTGTCTATTAAAAGTTTTCTTCCAAAAATTTTGATCACAAAAATCTACCCCATGCACTAAGAATCTGTTTTAAATTGCATGAAAACTACACCATGCCGTAAGAATCTATTTCATAAGTAGCCTTGTTTGTCAAATGACTGAATTGAGGGAGAATCCATTTCACCTTGTATTTGTTGTTAGTTGCTATCATTTACCATAAATATCAAATCAAAGCCTAGGTAAATTCTTGGATTATCCCCTGCCAACTTCTTTTTCTGCTGTTTAATCGCAGCACCAACTGGATGTTTAAATCTCTCACTCTTCTCACATCTGCTACCCATTCAATCAACACATATAGAGCAGTTCTTACGTCACTCGAACAGACAGGCTGTCAGTTAGTGAGACCCTTCCATGGGTTTATTTTTTTTTAGGGAATCCAGTATTTTTATATGTCCCTTCTTTCAATCACAATTTGTTTGTTTACGGTCTACAGTTCACAATTTTTATCCAATTTTTCCGAAACTTGATAATATAGGTTTATATCCCAAAGATCTCTGTTCATTTATATATTGGCATGTATCGGGCCGTAAATTCATTGATTATAAATAATATAACCCCTGATTGTACGAAAAATCAGGTTTTTAGCTGGTGGCCACTCTAGAGGTCACAATTTATATCCGATTTTGATGCAACTTAAAATGTATGTTAATAACCCAAAGATCTTGGTTCCTTTTGATATTTCCGCATTTCTGACCATAACTTCCTAAAATATTGCATCTGATTGTACGAAAAATGGTGTTTTTAGCTTGTTTACCCAATGGAGGACACAATTTTTTCGCGATTTTAAAAACCCTTCAAATATATCACCATTTCTCCATAATGCTGGTTGAGTTAGACTTTCGTGAAAATCGCACTGAAACTGGCTGTTACCACGTACGCAAATCTGTCTTGTACGAGCGTATATTGTTTATTTTCTATATTATATATACCATCTATTAATATTGTATATTACAGACAGCAAGTGAAGCAGTTGAGAATAATTTAACAGTTCAATCACTGACTAGAGAAGAACATTTCTATGATAAATATTGTTCTATGCTACAAAAACCCTACAGGTACATATTATACTTTACTTTCAGACAAATATTTACTAATATTTAGAAGGGTTGGGTGGTCGAGTGATCTAATGTGTATTCTTAAGATCTATTATTGTGTCAGGTGGCATTGGTATGGTTTACGTCACAAGCTTGTACGTAACAAGAAATAGGGTCACCTGCCCAACCTTGTCACTTTTTTCCTGGTACTCCGGTTTTCACCCACTCTTAATATTCCATATGGCCATGGGCAAGCAAATTATATTTGCTTTGAATAGGTAAAAACTATTGTGTATACTGATATTTTGAAGGGGATTGATGCATTTGTGTGTATGGCCAAGTTGTCTAACAGATATTGAAGATGAAAAACCGAGGTCCTGTGTACACATTGGGGTGCACGTAAAAGATCCCTTGACAGTTGGAATTTGATATAAGAGTAGGCCGTAGTGCCGCTGTCTGGGCAAAATTTCCCTCATAGCACACTGTATGGTGTATGCCCATCTTCATTATCCCAGTTCGGAGCAGAACAGTAGAACGTTAAACCCCATTTCATTTCATTTCACAGAAAACTCAACTAATCATGACATACTCTTAATATGGCGGTCCAAGGTTTGTGTCTGATTAATGTCCAAGAATAATATTGGTTAATATATCTTTATCTATTTATTTTCAGTAAGAATATAAGTCATGCTTTCTTCTATGCCATGGCCTATGGATTTTCACAAGGAATAATATTCATGTTATATGGAGCTTCATTTAGATTTGGTGCTTATTTGGTGGCAAATGGAGAAATGGAGTTTTATCAAGTATACAGGTTAGATATGTTTCATAATATATTACTATATCAGGTACGTGCTACTTAAATTGATCTAAACTGGAGTCTGCGTGTCATCATTCATGGATACCAAAGTGCTTAAATTAATTTTTCCCCATTAGTGCTAATAATTTGAGACCCAAATACATTTGTAAAAAAAAAATGCATGTGTTTAAACCAGTCCTTAGTGTAGAATTCATCAGACAGAAAGACACACGAATAAAGAAGGGTCCATGACATATAATTTTACTCTTGCCAGCACTGAGTTTTATAAATAGGTAAATGCTTTCATTCAGTTCTGAATGAGCGATTTTGGGTTACAGATGGCAGCTCCGGACTTCTGCGAGCGGCGAAGGAGCTTTCCCCATGAAAATTTGGAAAATTTGACGGTTGCAACTTCAAAGTTATCTAATATACCCTAATCAATCAGTTTGAAAGTTTAACTGCCACAAACTCATTTTCCTGCTATCCCAGCCCATGAATACAACATCTTCAATGTGGTCCAATCTTATGTGGCTGACCTGAATCCCCAACAACCAATCAATCGGCTCGGGGTACGGGGACCTCTTCCTCCCTGAGAAAATTTTGAAAATTTAAATGCCGCAAATGCGTTTTTTGCTATTAAGACCTGTGAGTTAAGCAACTTCAAAGTCATCTAATCGTTTTGCAACCGAAATCCCACTCTATGACAATCCGAATTCCAATCATCCAATCAGACTGTTGCATCTGCATTGACAAATAATAATCGATGCCCGAAAAGTGTTGCACAAATTAGAGTGGCTTCAGACAAAATGTTTTAATCCATAGTCAATTCAGTACAAATTCGTGGTATTCAACCAAAAGATAATTAGTGTTTTATCAGATTTCGGGCACTTTATTTTGCCAACTAGATGAAATAATAATTTTTGTCTTCACTCTACCTCTTGATTTGTTCCAAGGGGGATAACTGTTGATATGTTTTGAATAGTTTTAGCTATCTTACAAGACTTTGGAATATGTAGAGTCAGTGATGGGAAGGATAATTTTGTTTTGTTCTTTTCAACTGCCAACAAATCTTGTCAATGTGTATTGTGTACACAACCTAGTTTCTGTGTCCAGTAAGAACATCTTTTACAAGGCGTATCATTTAATACTTTCATTTTGATGCCCATCTTCAAGTAAGAAAAAAACTCTGAAAACAATAATATACCCAGTTCAAAAAAGTAGAAACCTGTGAACGTTTCGATTCAGGGTGCAATGAAAAATAACAAAAGGCTGAATTGATTTGGCATTATTTTATGATGCATGAATTGAAGGCCACACTCTCTTCTTGGTGAAACAAGACTAAAATAAATCTTCTTTATATATCATTTTTCACAAAAACATTTTCTACATCAAAATAAATTAGAATTTCACTCAAAGGAAAATATTGAAATGAAATCATAACACAGAAGAAAATTGTTCTGAAACATTCTGATATATTTATTTAGAAATGAAAATACAATATGTCCAGGATTTAGCTATGTATTTAACCATAGCATTTTCATGAGTGGATGTAAATAAACAGTTTAATTTGTCAACAGCCAATCCATCTGGACTATGAATAATATTATGGTTGTATATTCAAATCCCTAAGATTATCAACAAGGGACAAATGTGATGATTTAAAATATTGTCATAAATAGTATCCCTTGATATTGATGGTGGAAAGAATGAAATGGTCCATACCAAATTCTCTGAATGTTTTCATTTGTTATCCTATATAATCATACAAAATGGGTTGATTAAATAAAAAGCGAAATGTTTGGTCTAAAGGAATACAGTATATTATAGAATGAATTGGAATGCAAAGACTGCGAAATGAAAAAAATTAAAACAAAACAAAATGAAAGAAGATAAATCTACAAATGGTTCTATTACAATTACTAAAAAATATGCAATGTAATTGTAATTACATATCTAAAGCGTTATTGATTAAAATACTGTCATATTGTGCTTTTATTTTTTTTTTCTGTACTTTTGTCATTTGGGTAAATGAAACATCAGAATAAGAAGAAGAAGGAAATAATATATTCTAGTCTTAAGAAAATAAAAAAGGAAGTGCTTAAAATGCAAAATACAAAACATAATGGTATTTATTTTTCTCAAGAACATGGTTTTTAGTTGTTTTTTTTTTTTTTTTTTTTTTTTAAGTGGAGCACATTATTAACAGACAATTTTCTACAGAAATTATAGGTTGTAATTCCTGGCCCTTTAAGTTTATGAATCAAATGATAACCACTGCCACTAAAAGCTATATCACAAGTGAGGAATTCAGTAGTTATACAAAGTGCTTTTCTTGATTAGATTTTTCTTGCACTGTGTCCAATTGTATGTACTGCAATAATTTTGAGAAGCAGTTGTTGTAAAGGTTTGGTGTTTGATGCAATGATAGATAAGGCCTCGCCATAGTATTCCATTTATTTACCACATAAATTACATTTCATAAAACAGTAGGTCTAGAAGAAAAAGTTAAGATTGGTCTACTCTAAAACTTGCCACTACAAAAAGTAAATTCTAGAAAACTCGACTTGAATTATTCCTGTCAACATATATATATGCCTGAAGAGCAACTTCGGTTGTGAAAACGTTAGCACAAATAATGTAGTTTCATTTCGCCAACATAAATTTTACTTACATATGGAATAGTTTTGTTTTTTTACCTATCAGCAATATGAAAAATCAAAGAAAAGTTAAGGGTTATTCTGTATATACTTTAATAATTTGCAATTATTCAAATCTGATTATTCTTTTAAATACTACTGATTAAAATAACATTTATCTTTAAACAAAACAAACTTAAAAATTGCCTTTTAGTTTTTAGCAATAGATAAAAACTGAACGCTGACTTCACTTGCAATACTTATGCACAGAACATTAGAACTTTATAAATCACTAATGATTTAAGTTTAATAAGAAGAATATTGGCATAACATTCTTTACATGTGTAGATACTATAGTATGTAAAATCAAAATTTATCTACACACTTATACATAACAAATAATTTATATATACACTATTATACATGTATATGCTACATTATGCTATACAGAGATGGTCTACATCATAAATTATAGATATATATTAAAATAATACACACTTTCACTGATGTTTGTTATGTATTGCACAAAATAAATAAGATAGCACTTGAAAAACAAATACATTTGATATGTTGCAGCAAAATAATCATAACTTACAAATAAATATGTTTTAGACATTACTGTCTAATGTATGTATTTATCAATAGATTTTACTCCATTGCAAAATTAAATCACATATTCCAACTTTTCTAAATATAAGGTTTGGTAAAGTGCCAAAAATATTTCTTTATTATTGTGTAGATTAATAAATAATGATAAACTCATGCATACAACAATATCCCATCAATGTTAACAAGAGGTTTAATTTTAAAATAATAAAAAGTGTTTCCTTATGCAATCAGGTATTATTAATAATAATAATACCACAAGTATTCGTACAGTCTCATGTAAAAACAACACGCTTGTAGTTATATGCACAAAATCCTAAATTCATTTCCTACTTTTCTTCTCAATAACTAACACAATATTTGTCCAATAATAATTTAAATCTGATAAAGTTTTTCATTTAACAGTCATATTGAAAATTGGTACAAAAACACTCAGCAATCAATTCATCTTTCTTCACTGGACAATATCTTTCTAAAAATATATATTTACCATTAAGGTCATTTACACTTGGAGTATATTTTCAAGGTAGAAATAAAATGCCGAGTATTATAATTCCTCCATGGCATTAGCAAACTGATCATCATCAATCACAGTCGAAATTTCCATACCCAACACATCCAACTGAACTTGCATGTCATTGGCTAAGATTATATTTTGTAGGTCTGATTGGATTTTTCCGTCATTGTAATCCTTCTTCAAAACCTCAACTTGTTTTCGGGACATACAAATATTACAAATAAAAACTGAGGCGCCATCATTTCCTGTTTGAAAAAATAATGTCCCACGATCTTGCTCGAAATACATAGTCACAGCATTCTGCATGGCCTTCAATTCAAATAGTGCACAAAATTCTACAAGCTTTTCCTCAAAAAGTTTACCAGAAGATTTCCACTTTTCACACATTTCTACTGTTGAAGAAGTGCCATTATTATTTGTGTTATTCTGCTTGGGAGTTTGTTTGACTTTATGTGGCGAAATATTTTCGTCCCTTGGTCGTCGAAGTTCAACAGTTTCACTCAAATTGTCATATTGCATAATAACTGGAGCCACATTTTCTTTATCTCGTACATTTCGCGATGTTCTGGAATCATTGCGATTGTTTTTATATCCCACAATATCTGTTTGAATTTCTTTACGTGGACTACCACTATTACGTCTTTGTTCATAAGTTGTAGTGCTTAATGTGATATCACTTCTAGGGTAATGAGAACGGTTTGGATTTTCGTTGTTCGGTGCCGGGGATTTTCTATATTCAGAACTTTTTTCACTAAAATCTAACTGCCGTCTGCTTTCTGGATATGCTTTCTGTTTTTTAACGTTTTTATTCTTCGCTTTGGATTTTTTCTTTTCAGTCATTTTCTCGTATTTTTTCTCCTTTTTATGTTTGGGACGACAAAACATTGGGAAGCACATACACCAGCAGCTTTTTTTAACAAGTTTTTCTTCTTCTTCCTCTTTGTCATAAGCATAATCTAATATTTTAACTGATCTTGTCGAGAAATCGCCACTATCTAACATTAGCATATTCTCGTAGGACTTATGCAATCGTTGAGGTGTTGCTGAAGCCACACAGTTTTTTCGGCTGACACTGGGCGGCGAATCAGTTTTTGGCACCAGTAATTTTAAAGCTTTAATACATATTTTTATCTTAACTTCACCTGTAAGAACAAGAAGAGTTTTAATGACAAGTGTAAGAAGTGTATTCCTGTAATTGTATTATAAAGCAGTTTTACCCTCCTGCCTTAATACTAAAATAAATAGATATGATTAATTACTTGCACAATTATCTTTTCAAAAAGCATTACTTTTTAGAAAATGTTCATTATTGAACTTGGCCAAGGCTTACAGTAAGTTGCATCACTCTCAGTGTTATCGAGTTCCAAGCATAGACAAATCAAATTGCTTATCAGTTCTTAGCCCACACAGAAAATGCTCATTATTGAACTCATGTCATGACATTCACCTAATGAATCAAGTTTGAATATTCTACCTCAATTAGAAGCAGAGTAATTCTGTTCCAAAAGGTTTGACAGACAGATTGACAAATTGATTTTAATAGTCCCCTACTTTCTTTGAAGGGCGAGGCCGAGGGACAAAACCTTATTTTATTTTCTATTAATAACAAAATCACTGGGTCACCTCCACCTGACATTTTCATACTATCACCTTGTTCATACATATTTGCTAATTGCTAGCCACAATCTATAGCTTTTCTCTAAGTCACGGTTTCTAGTAGTGCTTTTAACTATAGTTTATCAAATGTGAAGATGGGAGAGAAAAAAGATATGGTGTTTAACACATTACATCCTATGAACACAACTGTTGACTAATGGTAATTTTTGAGTTTGCTAGCATGTGCGGCCTTTTGGTTGTGGGAGCATTCTGGAAAAAACCTCCCTTATTTCTATCTTGCATAGTAAATTGCAGTGAAGACATGTCTTATTATCATTGAACAAAGATATTCACTAAAATACTCAAACAAGATACTGTGTTAAATTATTTACCTTTATGACGTGGTTTATCCCAGTAACCTGGACGAAAAATTGGAAAAAAAAGTTAACACAGATAGTTTATTAACCAACTACACTTTACAACATGTGCTTAAGAAAAGATATATGTTATGTAGCTTTGTTGAACTTTAACTTGTACATAAACAATTAGTAGTTCCTTAACATACAGAAAATTAGTATTAGCATGCCAACATCAGTAAATGGGCACCCATGGAGCAACATGTCTGACACTCAAATGGCAGTATTGACAAATGTAAATAAAGATTAAATTAATCATTTCTAAAATTTTTCTATTAAAAAATAATTCAATGAATAAGAAAAGTTTGACTACTAACCAGTTCCATAAACAGGTTTAATTCTTTGACTAGTATCTATGGTACTGGCCAGCTTGTGTTGGCCTGACTGTCGTAATGCATTGATAAATAGTGCCTTTGCTGTGTTCCCATTGTCGTCAAGATGTTGAAGCAGGGCAGAGTTACGTCCAAGTTTAGTTTCCTCAAGGCAAATTCCATCGACAACATCTGTGTTTAGAACGCCATGTTGTAAGAGGTAGTCGAAAACAGGTTCTGTGTCTAAAGATTCTACAAGATCATCATTGGTACTTAACTGCTCAGTGAGCATGACGCTTTTACATTCATCACCTGGAAATAGATAAATTATAAAATAATTTTAGTATCAAGTAGTTATATACACGTATCTTGCTGTATACATCTACAACTACTCACTAAACTTTGCTTGAGTCATGTCTAGTTTCTAGTATTTTATTAAGATATTGACTTCAGTTGGCATATTAACAACAAACTGAAGTTCAATGGACAGCCTTGAAAGACGCAAGTTTGTGTTGTAATCTTCCATGAGAAAAACTTGTGATAATCTTAAAACCAGGTCTTCCATTATTAATGTGTCAATTGCATACAGGTTCATACAAAGCTGTGCTGTTAAAAACCGAAATCCTTTATAAATATATAATAGGAGATTTCTGTAGAGTGAAATAATTAAATGTTTTATTCAAATCACAATATAATATGTGTCATATTCTGGGACTATGATATTCACATGACCACATTAATAGTAAACGTGTATCATTTTATAATCTATTTCCACATGGTTACACCTGAATATTATTATTAATAACCCATTAACATTTGATTAAATGCACATTTCTAGATCGGTCATATATTAATCCGTTGCTAATAGCTAAAACTGGTTTCCGAATAGAAATTGTTGTAGCAAGGATCTTGTAGTATCTGATTACTGATATCACTTAAAACTCTCTGTTTTGATTATTCAGAATATTGACAACTTTTAGGAAATTGTTTTGTTTGTTCGAAATGGACCTTTCATTTTAGTTGAAAGTAGCCTTAGAGTCGTTTGTTATCCTTTTGAGGGATTTTAAGCACCCTATAATCATCTAAAAACCTGCAAGAAAAGTGCATTCTGGGCCTGTTACAATAGCAATATTAATAGTACTGAAATGAAACAACTACAAAATATAATGCAAAGAAATGCTGGCAAAGCATCAAATTTGTTATGGTATTTCAGACATTTCCATAATTTTACCCTTTTTATCAATAAATTCAAATAATGTCCACACTTCACTGAAACCTACCAATAAAACCAACTGTTGTCTGAAGTTAAAAAGCCTGACATTAGTTTGTCAAATGGGTGATATAGTTTTTCCTATGACTGTAATACCAGTATAGGTTTATTTGATCAAGACCGTTTTCATCTTGTCAACAAACATGGTGTCAGTGCACCAGTTGAGCTACATGTAATTGTGGTTATGGTAACTATTTAGTGATCTTTAGCTGTTGAGTTTAAAAATAAAACAACCTGCAAGTTTACCTCTCAGCTGAATAAATAGTTTAAGATGCAGAAAGTAAAAGAATAAAGAAAGATGGGTGATAAAAGTTTTTTGTGTTATTTATAGCTTGTCTTTTTACTAGACTAAGTATTCATCATGTTCTTCTTTGATGAAGAAACACATGACATGAACACATATACTCATATATCACAATGGACAGGTTATTATTTGATGAGGTGTATACTGTAAACCTATATTTCCTCACTACTTTCCATAGAACTGTAGATATGTAATTAACTCAGGCTAAATGAGACATATATTACAGGGCTACCATTTCAGATACAACTATAAATAACTTTATTTTAATTTTCATCAATTCTCCAAGACAAATTATTACCAGAAATGCATGAAATTGGTTGATTTTGGTTGCTTTAGGGTTTTGCTTAATACCTGTTTAGGGTTACTGGCCAAACAATCTTCTGGAAATGAATAATGTAATGGTTTATGGCATGTCAAAGATAAAAATATTCATTTTCTAAGATGAATGCATATGTTATATACTAATTTAATCCTTCCAAACAGAATTCAAACGGATACCTTACGTAGTTGGTTTTTGACATATGTGTCTCATTTCACCAGAGCTGGTCACAAAAATGTCAGAAACTACGTTCTACCTCACACTAACTATACATTCCTTCAGTGATGAAATATTGTACAAATTATAAAACCTTTCACACCACCAAGTAATGACTTCACCAATGTTTAAGTTTAATAGAAAATCACTCCTACACATACTTTACCTTCTAGTCTTATTGTTAATCATTATTAAGATCTATCAACTGATAAAATTATTTGAAAATGAATCATTTTACCTGAAACCTGTTCAACAAATTGATTGATTACAATTTTACCCTGAAGGAGAAAGCTTTTAGCCTTTAAAATAAATAATGCAAACTGTTTACAGCTCTGCTATACTTCTAATGATTGGTTTAAGGAAAAAACTTATGCAAATAGCTCTGTTAACCATAATATACAACACTTTGTATCATGTGTTACACACATAGCAGTTTATTCTAGTTTAATCTGAATATTGACCACTAGGTGTAAATAGGTGACAGCTGTCATTTTACCTTTACAAATAGGAAATGACAGAAAGTAAAGATTGGCAGCAGGCCAGTCAGAACAAAATTATACTTGGGTGCTGCCTGTGTTGCGAGCCAAAATGGGGTTCTGGGGGAAAGCTTGCCGCCAGGAAATTTATATTTTTTTTTTTTACTGTTGACAGTATTCAAATACTTTATTTGTATAAAGGCCATTAAGATAATAAATCCTGCTATTGGTTTTTCGTCCCATCCAAACCCTTATACACTTTTCCTTGTCTTGCACCACTGTCAATGGGAAACCATACTGAAAAATCTAGGGAAACTTTCTTGGGCTGCATGGAAACTGACTGGACTCAAACCTGCTGGTTTAGTGATCCAGTATCTTCTTCACTGAGCCACAGTGGCTCTGCCTATCGTAAAAGAATATATTCTATAAAGTAAAAGTGAAAATGAAGAATTTCTTTATATGTAATTTTCAAGTCAATATCCTTACATTATAGTAAATAAAAGGGTGTATTTACCTAGTACTTATCTAAATACTAACCTACATACATTTATCTATCATATAAATCAATATATAAATTTTATGCATCACTGATTTTTATTCAATTCAAACTAAGGTCTATTGTGCACTGGGATTATTTGATCAAGAAAATACGATAAAATGATCTTGTGTACTTGAAGACCTGACCCTTATAGTAATAAGACATTGTTTGTTTTTTAACTGTAGATTAGCTATAGGAAAACACAAAATTCGATTGGTAATATAAACAACTACAAATCAAAACTACTTGAATAATCTGGACCAGCTATTAACCAGATTTTAATCAAATTTTAACAATGAAGCATTTGAAAAACTGTTTTGTTATGTATTTGATAGCTTAAAAATAAATCTTGAACAAAATCGTACACATACTTTTTAATAAAATAAAATTAATGAAATTTTTATACCAATATAATATTACCTTTTCTCATAGGAACATACCCTAGTTAATAACAAATTAGTGTAAGCCAGTATTTTGCTTATGAGGATCACAAGTGCAATGTTTGTTAAATGAACTGAGGCCCATATATCTTCCTTTAGGTACAACATGTTTGTGCATAACATTAAAACTGTGAGACCATTGTATGTGACAACCCAGTATTTAAGTCAGGGCTTTTGTATACTGACAATAAATGAAACTGGTGAGAAAAATAGTTTATTGACCACAAATATATGGAGATCTTCAAACCAATTTCTAATAAGCCAATACATTAGCTGTAATAATACTAACTGGTGTTAATGAGATAATCTGTTATAAATCTTATTACTAAAACTATTAAGGTGGTTTTGGTTAATCAGAGCTACATGTAAATGGGGAGAGTAATGAAATCAGTCTATTATGATGGATTCCCATTATCTCATAATAATGTGCACATGTAAATAGGAAAATTATCCAACAAATTACACCTTGTTATAGGGGACAAATAGTGATTTTATGGGATTAGCTTTTAAAAAGGGGCTTCATTGTTGTCCATAAACCAAATTAATGTCATTGATCCCTTCAACTTTTGGTATTTTTACAACATTCACATGTAAAAAGCTGAAAATTTAACTTTTTAAATTCATTCTATTGAAGCAAACCTTTTACATGTGATAAAGAACCTGAGAGATTTCTAAATGCCAATACCCTAGATTACAATATAAGAGAAGTTTATCTTTTGAGACCACAGAGTGGGTTAATACACGATGGGGTTGTTTGAATATAAAATTAATGTCAGAGCTGTACTGAAGCTTGTACTAGGATCACGAATGCCAGTGAAAGTTCAGAAGATGTGTGATTCTTTTGTTATTTGATTTCTATCTTGTTGAAATATTGAGGTACCCTATGATTTTTCATTGGTAAAACGAAAACTGTTGCTTGCAATAAAATGAAATGAAATGGGGTATAACATCCTGCTGTTCTGCTCCGACTGGGGTAATGAAGAAGGGTATACGCCATATAGTGTGCTATAAGAAAAATTTTGCACAGCGCCACAACCTACTCTTAAAATCAAATTCTAACTGCCAAGGGATCTTTTATGTGCATGCCAATTTGTACTTGGGACCTCAGGTCATCCCATTCAAACAACTATGTATTGTCCCTTGTCAGGCCCTCTGTCCTGCACCACTGACAATGTGGAATCACGCCAGAAAATCCTGATGAACTTTATCTGCAACACCGGGATTGAACATGTGACCTCCAGGTTGGCGGGCCGTCTTACTCACTGAGCCACTGTGGCTCCCAGTTGCAATAAAAGATCATCATGTCATTGTTCATACCCCCTTGGTCAGGGCAACCGGATTCGCTTTTTAGCTTTTTACCATTTAAGTGTCCGTGATCTGGTGATTGTCTTTTGGGTTAGGGCGACCCCATCTGTTATTACAGATAAATTGTTGACTTTTGTACAGTTCCATATAAACCGATAATATATTCCACAGTGATTTTCAAGCAATAAGTAATTATTCAAACAGATGTTACTCAGTTTTGTTCTCTATTTGTTATCTATTTCTTACCTTGCATATTGTAAACGTTGAATATTCATTGATAATTTAATCCTTGAACTACTAGCACAGAAAGCTTCCCACCATAGATTAACAGTTAGTATGTGATGTAAGACGAGACTCGTGAATTATTCCTTAAACATTTGAGGTGATGTTAAGTTGACCTTATATTGTACTGATCAATATTATCAAACACAGAAAATTAAATGA